GTTGAGGGAAATCGGCCTGACGACACTGGAGGCCAGGAGGGTCAGGGGAGACATGATAACGACATATAAAATACTGCGCGGAATAGACGAGGTGGACAAAGACGGGATGTTCCAGAGATGGGACACAGACACAAGAGGTCACAATTGGAAGTTGAAGACTCAGATGAATCAAAGGGATGTTAGGAAGTATTTCTTCAGTCATAGAGTAGTCAGGCCATGGAATAGCCTAGAAAGTGATGTGGTGGAGGCAGGAACCATACATAGTTTTAAGGCGAGGTATGATAGAGCTCATGGGGCAGGGAGAGAGAGGACCTAGTAGCAATCAGCGAAGAGGCGGGGCCAGGAGCTGTGAATCGACCCCTGCAACCACAAATAGGTGAGTACAAATAGGTGAGTACACACACACACACACACACACACACACACATGGTAATGCATTATTTACAGCTAGCAAAGTCAGGGTATTTCTCCAGAATGGTCTGTAATATACCACTGTGGATAAAATACTTTGCCATTTCTTGAACATTTCTGAGTGAGTTGTTTCTAAATTCATTAATTTGGTCACACTCCAGTACATAATGACGCAGGGTGTGACAATAGTCCATCTGGCAAAGTTTACATTTCGTTTGGTCTACATCTGGTGGTGGTGATTTAACCTGCCATAGATACTTGTAACCCAGCCGGAGCCGGGCGGTAGTGACATCCAAGAGTCTGCTTATCTTGTTGGATGCACCATAGACATCTGGCTCCTCCTGCATGATGGAATAATGATAGATGGACTGACTTGTGTCAATCTCCCTAAGTCTTAAGTCAATAAAGTTCATTTGAAGTTTCTTTTCGTATTATTGTTTCAACTGCTAACTGACAACCCAAGATTGTAATCTACTCCCTCTTTGAAAGCATACAGCTTAGCCAATTTATCAGTTCTATCATGCATCTGAAGACCAATGTGAGATGGAATCCACAGCATGTGCACTCTGACTCCACTGTCCACAATCTTACCATATCTGTGTCTGGCTTCTGACACAAGCATGCCACAATTTATACTTAATGAGTTGAGAGCATTTATGGATGACAGAGAATCAGTTACAATTAAAGTGTCAACCTTAGATACATGGACACATTTGAGTGCAAGGAGTATGGCAAACAGTTCTGTTTGAAGGGTAGAGGCCCAGTTATTAATGCGTGCTCCAATTTCTTTATGAGAGCCATAAGATAAGATTTCGTTCGGATTTTTAACCCCGGAGGGTTAGCCACCCAGGATAACCTAAGAAAGTCAGTGCGTCATCGAGGACTGTCTAACTTATTTCCATTGGGGTCCTTAATCTTGTCCCCCTGGATGCGACCCACACCAGTCGACTAACACCCAGGTACCTATTTGCTGCTAGGTGAACAGGACAATAGGTGTAAGGAAACGTGTCGGAATTTCCACCCGCCGGGAATCGAACCCGGGCCCTCCGTGTGTGAAGCGGGAGCTTTAGCCACCACAGACCGGGCCGCGGGGGCGTTGACCCCGGAACTCTCTCCAGGTAAACTCCAGGTAAACCAGACCACCGGCCACCCACCATCACTCTGTGTGACAACAGCAGCACTACCAGCTGCACCAGTGGACTGGTGAACAGAACCATCAACGTAAATAATTTGTGAAAGATTGTTCTGTGTGACTAAGTTATCAATACAGCTTAAGGCATCATGTTTGGCTTCAAGACGAAGCTTTGGTTGTGATTTAAGAAGAGTTTTGGGGGGAAATGGAGGAATGGTAGTTTGGAATGGGGTAATATCCCATGGAGCAGGGAAATGTCTCTGTTGTCTAACTTGATATAGATCATGTAGCTGGTTCATGCGGAGGTCGGTTCCAGTTTTTTTCGATCCATCTGGAAGGATGTTCACCAGTGCTGAGGAAAGTTTGGAGGGCTTCTGTGCAGGGGTTTGAATGGGCTAGCCTAAGCATATTGACCCCAATAAGGATATTCCTTTCAGTAACACGATCTCTAATGCTTGGAATATTAAGTTCTTTCCGCATATTTAAAATTTTGGCAGTACGAGGGCATCCTAGGATGATCCTCATTGCTTCGTTTTGCAGTTTTTCCAGCCCTCCAAGCTTCCAGTCAGACACGAGTGCAAGTAGTGGTGCCGCATAATCAACCAATGATCTAATATAAGCAAGATACATCATTTTCACAATTTTAACATTAGCACCATACCTCTATAAAGTTTATTCTCTATAAGGATTACAATGCTGAGTTTACAGAAATTTGGTTATTGTTTGGTTTACATGTAGTAAAATTGTGATTACAGAGTGTACCACTAGAACGCTTAGCATGGCTAGGCATTTCGGGCATACTTAGTTTTATTCTTAATTGTAAAATATTACAAATTATGAGGTAAGTTGGTATTATGGCTAAGTGACTAAATACTAGTTTGTGAGTTTAGCAATGTGAATGCTTTTGTTTTGGCACAGTACATAGTTTCAGTATTGGAGTATCACAAGATTCATTATTTTAAGACTGAGATTAATATTTCCGTTTATGGTCAAATGAGTGAGTGAGTGTAAGTGTGAACCACCAGGTGGTATTCGTGTAGTTAGTTGACGGGGTGTATCAGGGAGATAAGATGTTTTCTAATGGTAGTTTTGAAGGTGATGAATGTGTCTGCAGTTCTAGAGTTCTCAGGTAGGGTATTCCAGATTTTAGGGCCTTTGACGTACATTGAATTTTTGTAAAGGTTTAGTCGGACACGGGGAATGTCGTAGAGATGTTTGTGTCTGGTGTTATGTTGTGGGTTCTGTCACAACTATCAAGAAAGCATTTTAGGTCAAGGTTGATATTAGAGTTTAAGGCCCTGTAGATATAGATTGCACAGTAGTAAGTGTGGGATGTACTGAACTGGGAGCAAGTTTAGATCTATGAAGAGTGGGGGGGGTGTGTTGCAGGGATGGGATTTAGTGATTATTCTTACTGCAGCTTTTTGTTGGGTTATTATTGGCTTTAGGTGTGTTGCTGCAGTTGATCCCCAAGCACAAATAGCATAGGTGAGGTATGGATAAATAAGTGAGTGGTTATAGTATGAGAAGGGCATTTTGCGGCACGTAGTATCGTATCTTGGAGAGGATCCCAACCGTTTTGGATACTTTTTTGGCTATATGCTGGATATGGGTGCTGAAATTCAGGTTGTTGTCAAGGTATAAGCCTAGGAATTTTCCCCCATTATTTCTGGTAATTAGAGTGTTGTCAATCTTAATGTTAATTTGTGCATCTCCTGCTCTGCTACCAAACATAATATAGTAGGTTTTGTCAGTGTTAAGCGTAAGTTTATTGGCTGTCATCCAAGTCGATATTTTAATCAGCTCCTCATTCACAATGGTGTTGAGGGTGGCAAGATTAGGGTGAGAGATGACATAAGTCGTGTCATCAGCAAAGAGAATGGGTTTCAGGTGTTGGGATACGTTTGGAAGGTCATTGATGTATATGAGGAAGAGCAGGGGACCAAGGACACTTCCCTGCGGAACTCCAGTATCAAGTGGCCGTGTTGCTGATGCTGTGTCTTTAATGGTGACGTTACTGATACCTATTAGTAATGTAAGATTTGAAATAAGCAAGTGCATGGCCTCTTATACGTAGTGATCAAGTTTGTGGAGTAGGATGTCGTGGTCTACTGTGTCAAAAGCTTTTCTTAGGTCAATAAAAATTCCTAGTGGATATTCCTTATTTTCCAATGCTGTGTAAAGCAGATCTAGCATTTTTATGATTGCATCATTAGTGCTTTTATTTTCCTAAATCCAAACTGGCAGGGGTTGAGTATGTTTTGAGCCGTTATAAATGAATACAGTCTCCTGTGCACGAGTTTCTCAAAGATTTTGGATAGCAATGGTAAGTTAGATATTGGCCTATAGTTGTTTAAGTCTGTAGGGTCACCACCTTTATGTATTGGTGTAACCCTTGCCATCTTGAGTAGTTTCGGGAAGGTGCTAGTCTCTATTGACTTGTTAAAAAGTAATGAAATAGCATGCGAAAGGACATGGGCCGCTCGCTTGTACAGTAATGGTGGGACATGAGACAGATTCCCCGAGTTATTTTTAAGTGACTTATGATCTCAATGACTTCCGTGGGCTCAGTTGGTGCAAGAATAGAAGGAATTAGGGAAATTTCCATCTAGGTAGTCCCCGGCATGGGCATTGGTATGTGGGATTTTACTGGCGAGATTAGATCCTATGTTTGAGAAGAAGTCGTTTATCTTGTTCGCTGTGTCAGTGGGATGTAGTGGTGTTTCATTAGGTTTAGTTAGGACAATATTCTTGGTTTTTCTCAGTTTGTGGGTCCCTAGAATCTGAGAGAGTGTTTTCCAGGTCTTTTTTATATCTCCTCTAGTGTCTGTGAATCTACTGGAGTAGTATAGTTGTTTGGCTTTTTTTATTACTTTGGTGAGAGCTGATGAATAGTGTTTAAGAGTATCTTTGTGTATTAAGCCCTGTCTATATTGCTTTTCATATTGGTGTTTCTTGTCAATGGATTTCAGAATGGATTTCAGAATGGGATGAAACCCAGCCACAACTCTAAGTGCTCTCAGCCTTTCTTTGTATTGGCGACAAAGTCTCGTTACAACAGGTCCAAGTAGTGGAACCTCAAAGCCTAGATACCTGTATCTGCTTACATATTCTAGAAGAGACCCATCATGCAACTGGATCTGACGAACTGTGCCTCTCTGTCGAGGAGGACGTCTGTTGAGTATCTTTGTTTTATCCCCTGAGATTATTAACCCCAGGTCCTGACACGAGGCTAGTACATGATTAAGAATGTTTTGGGTGTTGGTAAGGAGAAGAAGAAAAGAAATGTAAAAATATTACCATCACACAGGTATTTAGCATTTCCTTAGATAATAATAATAATAATGTTTTTGGAGTTCCAAATTAATTAACTATATTTCTGGTATTTGTGATAAAAGTATTACCTCATCAGTATCACTCAGTAATATTGTTATCTCTCTAACATTTAATACTTCCATATAAGTATATTAATAATAATACTCGTTGAGAGATATTTTGTTTGGAATTCCAAATTAACTATATTTCTGGCGTTTGTGATATAATCACCACTTTATTAGCTTTGATATTATAATACATTGTAGATTAACAGTTCTTGTAAAGCAAATACTCAAGTCTAGTAATATTTATAAGAAATAGAAAAATACACTTCAAAAATGTACAAGGGCTTTGAGGATTTAGTTTTCACGTATGATGAAATGTTCATCTTGTGTGAACTAGAATGCAGATCCCGGCTGGGTTCTGGTGTTAGCGGGACCGTGTATAAAGTTGCTTTTGACGGTAAGTACGCCTGCTTGAAACTGGGCAAGTGCCTAGAGGATGCACGAGCCTATGAAGAGGAGGCGAAGATTCTGAGTGTTTTGAAAGGAGCTGGCGGAGTTCCTCTATTAGAATGCTTCTGTAGCAACTTCCCCGCAATGGTAATTTCCTTCAGGGGAGGCACTACCCTACACGACTTTCTAACACACAGTCAAAATCTTTCCCTACATGTGTTAATTTTGATATTTATCCAAGTGGCCAAAGATCTCCAGGAGATCCATGCACATGGATACATCCATAATGATTTAAAGGGAGATAATGTACTCATCAATGAGCCTGAAGAGGGCCTCCTCGAGGTAAATATCATAGATTTGGGTCACGCCAAAAGGAAAGGATGTCGCATGGGATGGGTTCACACTGAGGACGACCATGCCAGGTTTCCACACTATGCTCCAGAAGTTTTTTTTGGTGACCCTTGCACACCACAAGGTGATGTTTATTCCTTGGGCCATCTCATGGCTAAACAATTTGGACATTACCTGTGCAAGAAGAAAATAGACTGGCCTCCAGTCTTACTAAACCTGATAGATAAAATGATGCACTCTCAGTGGTTCAAAAGGCCAACTATACAGGAGGTTATTGAATGGTTAGAATTTGTTATAAATCCTTTCAAATCAATGAAAAGCCAACCAGTTGCTGACAGCCTCAACCAGACTTCAGGAAGGACCTGTGACAATGTTTCTGTGTACGACTCTCCAGAAACAGACGCCAAGACCCCACCAGAAGCCAAGACCCCACCTTCCACTCCCTCTCTTCCTTCCCCTCCATATCTTCCTTCCCCTCCCTCTCTTCCTTCCCCTCCCTCTCTTCCTTCCCCTCCCTTTCTTCCTTCCCTCCCTCTCTTCCTTCCCTCCCTCTATTCCTTCCCCTCCATCTCTTCCTTCCTCTCCCTCTATTCCTTCCCTCCCTCTCTTCCTTTCCCTCCCTCTCTTCTTTCCCCTCCCTCTATTCCTTTCCCTCCCTCTCTTACTTTCCCTCCCTCTATTCCTTCCCCTCCCTCTATTCCTTCCCTCCCTCTCTTCCTTTCCCTCCCTCTCTTCCTTTCCCTCCCTCTATTCCTTTCCCTCCCTCTCTTCCTTTCCCTCCCTCTCTTCCTTCCCCTCCCTCTATTCCTTCCCCTCCATCTATTCCTTCCTCTTCCTCTATTCCTTCCCCTCCCTCTTTTCCTTTCTCTCATTCTCTTCCTTCCCCTCCCTCTCTTCCTTCCCCCTCTTCTCTTCCTTCGCCTCCTTCTCTTCCTTCCTTCATTCCTTCAAATACAGCACAGGCCGAAACCTCACCACAGACCAAGACTCCACCACAGGTCACGACCCCGTCACAGGCCAAGACCGCAACATTGACAGACGCTGCAACAGTAACCGACGCCGCAACAGTGACCGACGCCGCAACAGTGACCGACGCCGCAACAGTGACCGACGCCGCAACATTGACCGACGCCGCAACATTGACCGACGCCGCAACATTGACCGACGCCGCAACAGTGACCGACGCAGCAACATTGACCGACGCCGCAACAGTGACCGACGCTGCAACAGTGACCGACGCCGCAACAGTGACCGACGCCGCAACAGTGACCGACGCCGCAACATTGACCGACGCCGCAACAGTGACCGACGCCGCAACAGTGACCGACGCCGCAACAGTGACCGACGCCGCAACAGTGACTGACGCCGCAACAGTGACTGACGCCGCAACAGTGACCGACGCCGCAACAGTGACCGACGCCGCAACAGTGACTGACGCCGCAACAGTGACCGACGCTGCAACAGTGACTGACGCCGCAACAGTGACCGACGCCGCAACATGACTGAGGGCCGCAACAGTGACTGACGCCGCAACAGTGACCGACGCCGCAACATTGACCGACGCCGCAACAGTGACTGACGGCCGCAACAGTGACCGACGCCGCAACAGTGACTGACGCCGCAACAGTGACTGACGCCGCAACAGTGACCGACGCCGCAACAGTGACCGACGCCGCAACAGTGACTGACGCCGCAACAGTGACCGACGCCGCAACAGTGACTGACGCCGCAACAGTGACCGACGCCGCAACAGTGACCGACGCCGCAACAGTAACTGACGCCGCAACAGTGACCGATGTCCCACAACGGGGTGACGCATTAGCTGGGTCTTGTTCGAGATATTTATTCTTGTACTACGCCTTGTACACCGCACTGGCTTGTACATATGTAACATAAATGAACCAGAACCTAACATAATGGAGTGAGACCTTGGCTCACTTTCTCACCAAACGAAACTACAAGTTCTTTTTATGATTTTTTATTTTAATTTAAGCATAAGAACATCTATTTTGTAATTAAAAAATCTTATTTTCTTTTATTTGAAAACAAGGAACTTTATTTATTTATTATATATATATATATATATATATATATATATATATATATTTTATATATATATATATATATATATATATATATACATATATATTAAAAAAAAGGAGCTCGACGAGCAGCCACCTCCACGTGGTGAGTTCTGGGTATTTTGTGACTTATAAAAACTTCTTACAAAATAGCTGAGAGCTGCTCATAATCTTCTGTGTATATATGTTAGCTGAGAGCTGCTCATAATCTTCTGTGTATATATGTTAGCTGAGAGCTGCTCATAATCTTCTGTGTATATATGTTAGCTGAGAGCTGCTCATAATCTTCTGTGTATATATGTGGAAACTATACATATATACACATACAGGCAAATAGTGGACCTAGTAGTGACCAGGGAGAAGGCTGGGTACGAAGTTATGACGATATCGATCCTGCAACTATAAATAGGTGAGTACATACATGACTCACTTTTACACAGGGTTTGACAAGGTTAAGGATCCCTAGCTTTATTGACAAACTATTTACAGGTTAAGGATTCCTAAATTTATTGACAAGCTAAGAGCTGTTACCTACATCAGCTCATTTGAAAGCATTTTTATTGTTATGAGACATACAAGTATTTTTATTGTTATGAAATATGCAAGTATTTTTATTGTTATGAAACATACAAGTATTTTTATTGTTATGAGACATACAAGTAAGGAACAGGATGAAGTTGGAGCCATCTGTGGGCCAGCATTTCCTTCTGGTCAACTGACTTTATCTCGTTGACATCATTATGCTGTTAGTTTTAAGGGTTGTAAGTCCTCTAGAACAGTATGAACCTGTTGGTTTTAAGGGTTGTAAGTCCTCTAGAACAGTATGAACCTGTTGGTTTTAAGGGTTGTAAGTCCTTTAGAACAGTATGAACCTGTTGGTTTTAAGGGTTGTAAGTCCTCTACAACAGTATGAACCTGTTAGTTTTAAGGGTTCTAAGTCCTCTAGAACAGTATGAATCTGTTGGTTTTAAGGGTTGTAAGTCCTCTAGAACAGTATGAACCTGTTAGTTTTAAGGTTTGTGAGTCCTCTAGAACAGTATGAACCTGTTGGTTTTAAGGGTTGTGAGTCCTCTAGAACAGTATGAACCTGTTGGTTTTAAGGGTTGTGAGTCCTCTAGAACAGTATGAACCTGTTAGTTTTAAGGGTTGTAAGTCCTCTACAACAGTATGAACCTGTTAGTTTTAAGGGTTGCAAGTCCTCTAGAACAGGTAGAACCTGTTGGTTTTAAGGGTTGTGAGTCCTCTAGAACAGTATGAACCTGTTAGTTTTAAGGGTTGTAAGTCCTCTAGAACAGTATGAACCTGTTAGTTTTAAGGGTTGTAAGTCCTCTAGAACAGTATGAACTTGTTAGTTTTAAGGGCTGTAAGTCCTCTAGAACAGTATGAACTTGTTAGTTTTAAGGGTTGTAAGTCCTCTAGAACAGTATTAGCCTGTTAGTTTTAAGCGTTGTAAGGAAAGAGTAAGGTTATGAGGATAACAAAAAGATTAGGTGATGAAAGATTGGATATCAGCTTGGAGGGAGAGAGTATGGAGGTGAATGTATTCAGATATTTGGGAGTGGATGTGTCAGCGGATGGGTCTATGAAAGATGAGGTGAATCATAGAATTGATGAGGGGAAAAGGGTTGGTGGTGCACTTAGGAGTCTGTGGAGACAAAGAACTTTGTCCTTGGAGGCAGAGGGGAATGTATGAGAGTATAGTTTTACCAACGCTCTTATATGGGTGTGAAGCATGGGTGATGAATGTTGCAGCGAGGAGAAGGCTGGAGGCAGTGGAGATGTCATGTCTGAGGGCAATGTGTGGTGTGAATATAATGCAGAGAATTCGTAGTTTGGAAGTTAGGAGGAGGTGCGGGATTACCAAAACTGTTGTCCAGAGGGCGGAGGAAGGGTTGTTGAGGTGGTTCGGACATGTAGAGAGAATGGAGCAAAACAGAGTGACTTCAAGAGTGTATCAGTCTGTAGTGGAAGGAAGGCGGGGTAGGGGTCGGCCTAGGAAAGGTTGGAGGGAGGGGGTAAAGGAGGTTTTGTGTGTGAGGGGTTTGGACTTCCAACAGGCATGCGTGAGCGTGTTTGATAGGAGTGAATGGAGACAAATGGATTTTAATACTTGACGTGCTGTTGGAGTGTGAGCTGTTGGAGTCCTGACCAGCCGGGCTGTGGCTCATACGTTGGTTTGCGTTCAGCCAGCAGCAACAGCCTGGTTGATCAGGCTCTGATCCACCAGGAGGCCTGGTCACAGCCCGGGCCGCGGGGGCGTTGACCCCCGGAACTCTCTCCAGGTAAACTCCAGGTATGAAGGGGTTCAGGGAAACCAGCAGGCCGGACTTGAGTCCTGGAGATGGGAAGTACAGTGCCTGCACTCTGAAGGAGGGGTGTTAATGTTGCAGTTTAAAAACTGTAGTGTAAAGCACCCTTCTGGCAAGACAGTGATGGAGTGAATGATGGTGAAAGTTTTTCTTTTTCGGGCCACCCTGCCTTGGTGGGAATCGGCCAGTGTGATAATAAAAAAATAATAAGTCCTCTAGAACAGTATGAACCTGTTAACACTTGGTTGTAAGTGTTGTAACTTCTCTAGAGTTGAATACAGAGGTGGCAGCAGAAACAGTAGATATGTATATGTATCGAGAAAGAGAGCTTGATATAGTATAAATAAGTTTATTTAGGCACAGGCACACATAAACACAATTATATAAATTATCTACAAAGAAGCATATGTGTAGATTACCTAGGATAACTCAAAATATTCGATGTGACTTATTTCCATTAGAGTCCTTCATTTCATTAAGATCCTTGATACCATTGGGGTCCTTCATTCCATTGGCGTTCTTGATTCCACTGGGGTCCTTGATTTCATTTGGGGTCCTCGATTTCATTTGGTTCTTGATTCCATTGGGGTCTGATATCATTAGGGTCCTTGATCCCATTTGCTCTCCTTGATTCCATTTGGAGTCCTTGATTCCATTAGTGTCCTTGATTCCACTGGGGTACCTATGCCTAAATCAACTTACATCAGTAACTCAAGTGATGAGTGGAAGCCGTCAGTGGCCCTTATTAACCCAACAACAACAACAAGAAGGACAAGTTGTCAATTTGGGGTTATAATTCCATCTTATTATTTGATGTAAGTGGAGTAGGTTCTCTTGGTTGCAGTATTGAACAGTTCTTGGTAGTCACCAGGTTATTGATGTCAGTCAGTGGGTTGTCTAGGAGGCCACCTCGGTGACTTACCATGAGTTTTCATTTAGCTCATAACCGTAAGGATTGGGTTCAGTCCTAGGTGGGGAGGATTGGGTTCAGTCCTGGGTGGGGAGGATTGGGTTCAGTCCTGGGTGGGGAGGATTGGGTTCAGTCCTGAGTTGGAGAGAATTGGGTTCAGTCCTGGGTGGGGAGGATTGGGTTCAGTCCTGAGTGGGAGAGGATTGGGTTCAGTCCTGGGTGGGGAGGATTGGGTTCAGTCCTGGGTGGGGGAGGATTGGATTAAGTCCTGGGTGGGGGAGGATTGGGTTCGGTCCTGGGTGGGGGAGGATTGGATTAAGTCCTGGGTGGGGGAGGATTGGGTTCGGTCCTGGGTGGGGGAGGATTGGGTTCAGTCCTGGGTGGGGAGGATTGGGTTCAGTCCTGGGTCGAGGAGGATTGGGTTCAGTCCTGGGTGGGGAGGATTGGGTTCAGTCCTGGGTGGGGGAGGATTGGGTTCAGTCCTGGGTGGGGGAGGATTGGGTTCAGTACTGAGTGGGGAGGATTGGGTTCAGTCCTGAGTGGGGGACGATTGGGTTCAGTCCTGGGTGGGGAGGATTGGGTTCAGTCCTGAGTGGGGGAGGATTGGGTTCAGTCCTGGGTGGGGGAGGATTGGGTTCAGTCCTGGGTGGAGGAGGATTGGGTTCAGTCCTGGGTGGGGGAGGATTGGGTTCAGTCCTGGGTGGGGGAGGACTGGGTTCAGTCCTGGGTGGGAGAAGGGCTGATTTCAGTCCTGGGTGGGGCAGGATTGGGTTCAGTCCTGGGTGGGGGAGGATTGGGTTCAGTCCTGGGTGGGGGAGGACTGGGTTCAGTCCTGGGTGGGAGAAGGGCTGATTTCAGTCCTGGGTGGGGGAGGATTGGGTTCAGTCCTGGGTGGGGGAGGATTGGGTTCAGTCCTGGGTGGGGAGGATTGGGTTCAGTCCTGGGTGGGGGAGGATTGGGTTCAGTCCTGGGTGGGGGAGGACTGGGTTCAGTCCTGGGTGGGAGAAGGGCTGAGTTCAGTCCTGGGTGGAGGAGGATTGGGTTCAGTCCTGGGTGGGGGAGGATTGGGTTCAGTCCTGGGTGGGAGAGGACTGGGTTCAGTCCTGGGTGGGAGAAGGGCTGATTTCAGTCCTGGGTGGGGGAGGATTGGGTTCAGTCCTGGGTGGGGGAGGATTGGGTTCAGTCCTGGGTGGGGGAGGACTGGGTTCAGTCCTGGGTGGGAGAAGGGCTGATTTCAGTCCTGGGTGGGGGAGGATTGGGTTCAGTCCTGGGTGGGGGAGGATTGGGTTCAGTCCTGGGTGGGGAGGATTGGGTTCAGTCCTGGGTGGGGGAGGATTGGGTTCAGTCCTGGGTGGGGAGGATTGGGTTCAGTCCTGGGTGGGGGAGGATTGGGTTCAGTCCTGGGTGGGGGAGGATTGGGTTCAGTCCTGGGTGGGGAAAGGACTGGGTTCAGTCCTGGGTGGGGATGGGGGCTCCCCCTCAAGGGGGAGGTTCCTCTGATCATAGGAATTGGACCTGTGCTCCACTTCCTTGAATCAAACCTGAATGCATCCACCCCCTCATTTCCTTCTGTCCAGGCACTGCATGGCGCCTATGGGTTTAGTGCTACCTTGTGAATGTGAAAAAACATCATCATCATCTTCATGATCACCAGCGTCATTGTCAGTCCTTAACCCTTGACCCCAAAGGAAATCAGACCCAATGTCCTACTTTCTTAGGTTAATAATCTCAATAAGTGTTCTCTCAAACTCTCTTATAATTTATTACCAATACACATATTTACCTATAATGACTATGTACTTAATGCAACAGTTGTAAAAATTGATGATAATAATTATAATTATAAATATAAATTTATATAAATAAATAAATATACATATACATATGTGTATACATGTATATATACATATGTATATTTATTTATTTATTGGTATTATGTACTGTATGTAAAAATTTTACCCTTACAGGCATTATTTAGAATGTCAGAAAATGCTGCTTGGAAAGTAAGCGATGCAGCGAATGTTTGTATCTCGAGTGTTGTGTCTGGGGTGTCAGAAGTAGCATCGAATGTTACGTACGGTGTTGGGGGTGTGGTCCACTGTGTTGCATCGGGTAAGGTATTCTTGTCTTTGTTCATTCCAGCTCTCTTGCATTATGTTATTATGACTCGCAAAGTTGTAATGACACAATTACAAACAAACTATACCACAGGTGGGGGTAGAACCCGTGATCAGAGAGTTATCGCGGGTTATATCCCCACCCATGGTATGGGTTGTGCTGTTATGATCATTTACTGTATCACCTTCATTTCTGCTTTTCTCACTTGTGATGGGTGTGTCAAAATAACAGCTGATAACTTAGTTCAATGTATTAAATGCATTATGTGGTATTAGGGCAAATAAACACACAAAATGTGAGATGCAGACAGTAAGATTGTTGGTCATGAAATTGTAACAACACCCCTTCCTTGGATCAAACCTGATTACCTATCATTTTCTAGGCACTGTACGACCCCATGAGTGCAAAGCTTCCCTGTGAATATGAGAATAACAATAATAATAATAATAATAATAATAATTTTATTTTAGCATGATATATATTTGTACAGAGGAGTGTAACAATTGGGTGAACATTCCAAATGCCCCTTTATATGCAGAGCATTTTGGGCAAATTTAAGACTAACTTAAGATAAATAGGGCAATACATTGCTGTAATTTGTACATATGGTCATTTGGTGAGTTACAATGAATACAAGTAAGTTGAATACATGTACGTATTCTATTAGTTTGAGCTGTATGGCTTTAATAAGCTAGGTAGAATAGAATTACAGTTTTGATATAGTATATATTAACATAATACAGTACAGTGGACTCCCGGTTAACGATATTTTTTCATTCCAGAAGTATGTTCAGGTGCCAGTACTGACCGAATTTGTTCCCATAAGAAATATTGTGAAGTAGATTAGTCCATTTCAGACCCCCAAACATACACGCCCAAACGCACATACTTAAATACACTTACATAATTGGTCGCATTGGGAGGTGATCGTTAAGCGGGGGTCCACTGTATTACAATTGAGCACAATTTAAAATCATGAAGTTGACACAATTTTAAGTTTGAGAAGTGATTGTAGATGACTTAAGAAATCGTAATGACACGATTGCAAACAAACCATACCCCTGGCCGGGATTGAACCCGCGGTCATAGAGTCTCAAAACTCTAGCCCGTCGCGTTAGACACTAGACCAGCTACTCGGCTAGCTGGTCTAGTGGCTAACGCGACGGGCTGGAGTTTTGAGACTCTATGACCGCGGGTTCAATCCCGGCCGGGGGTATGGAGTGATTGTAGATGTTAAGCTGACAACGTATTTTTCCTGTATAAATTAATTGATGGAATCATTGTATGTAGCAGGTTGGTAGACAGCAATCATCCAGGTAGGTACTACTATTCTTGTATATACCATATTTACTGGCATATGAGGCACTCTTTTTTTTTCTCTCCACAAAAAGTCTTGGAAAATCAGCCTGCACCTTATATGCTCAAGATCAGGGTCAAGGGTATGCTCTGAGTTACGCTTTAGCAATTGTTTACTAATGTTACGTTACAGTTGCTTGGAAACCTCATCTTATATGATCGTGTTCCTTATATGCCAGAAAAATATAGTAAGTGTTAAATGGAAGCTTATCATTTTGCACTGGTAGGATTGCTGATATTTTCTTTCTCATAAACATGGAAGGTGACACGTAGATCTTCCAAATGTCTGTTTACATACCTTTACTTTCCTATAGGCATCTTAATAGTGGTTAATTATGGTCTGAGACCAGGCTGTGGGGAAGATAATCCACAGAACCACTTTGTCTAGCTTTTCTTGGGTTATCTTAGGTAATTTACACTATGTGTGATAATCGTACGTACTTATGTGTATCTGTGCCTGTATAAACTTAATGACTTTGGAAATAGCATATCATCATAATTATTGTTATAAGTGCCACACAGTGGTGTAGCCAGGTTCTAAATTTAAGGGAAGCCAGCATATTAACCCGTAAACGGTCCAAGCAGATCTACGTTCACATGTGTAGTGCTACAAAAATAGATCTACGTTTTTTTTACATATTTTCAAATATAACAAAAAAAAAAGTAGATCAAAGTTTTTTTACACATTTTCAAATGTAAAAAAACAAAAAGAAGATCTACTTTTTTACATACTTTCAAATGTTGAAAAAACATATATATACGTTTGGACCGTTTACGGGTTAAAAAAAAAAAAGGCGCCATGACACTTAACAAATAATTTTAAATTCATTTTCGTACATTTTTATTTTGTTTTTAAAATCAAAACACAAGGAAGATACAATTTTAAATGAAGTACATAATTGAAGATTGAGACACTTATGCAGCATATGGAAATCTTTATTCAGGAAACGTTTCACCACACAGTGGCTTCATCAGTCCAATACAAAGAGGAAGGCGTAAGGAGAGGAGGAGAATGAGGTAATCAGTCCCTCAACCTGGAGTCGATGTGTTCAGTCCATCAATCTTGTAGAATGTACAGCATAGGGCCGTAGACGTGGCTTATATACTGTAGTGAGGTGACGTGAAGCAGATGGAGGCGGGGTCATAGTGGTACCATCCACTAGTCGAAGTAGGTCTTCGTCCAAAGGTTGAACAATTGTTGAAGAATTCTTTGTAACAAGATCCCATGATGCTGCAGTGTCCGACAGTTGTGATGAATGGTTTGAAAAACCGACAAGTTGAAGATTGAGACACTTATGCAGCATATGGAAATCTTTATTCAGGAAACGTTTCGCCACACAGTGGCTTCATCAGTCCAATACAAAGAGGAAGGCGTAAGGAGAGGAGGAGAATGAGGTAATCAGTCCCTCAACCTGGAGTCGATGTGTTCAGTCCATCAATCTTGTAGAATGTACAGCATAGGGCCGTAGACGTGGCTTATATACTGTAGTGAGGTGACGTGAAGCAGATGGAGGCGGGGTCATAGTGGTACCATCCACTAGTCGAAGTAGGTCTTCGTCCAAAGGTTGAACAATTGTTGAAGAATTCTTTGTAACAAGATCCCATGATGCTGCAGTGTCCGACAGTTGTGATGAATGGTTTGAAAAACCGACAAGTTGAAGATTGAGACACTTATGCAGCATATGGAAATCTTTATTCAGGAAACGTTTCGCCACACAGTGGCTTCATCAGTCCAATACAAAGAGGAAGGCGTAAGGAGAGGAGGAGAATGAGGTAATCAGTCCCTCAACCTGGAGTCGATGTGTTCAGTCCATCAATCTTGTAGAATGTACAGCATAGGGCCGTAGACGTGGCTTATATACTGTAGTGAGGTGACGTGAAGCAGATGGAGGCGGGGTCATAGTGGTACCATCCACTAGTCGAAGTAGGTCTTCGTCCAAAGGTTGAACAATTGTTGAAGAATTCTTTGTAACAAGATCCCATGATGCTGCAGTGTCCGACAGTTGTGATGAATGGTTTGAAAAACCGACAAGTTGAAGATTGAGAAACTTATGCAGCATATGGAAATCTTTATTCAGGAAACGTTTCGCCACACAGTGGCTTCATCAGTCCAATACAAAGAGGAAGGCGTAAGGAGAGGAGGAGAATGAGGTAATCAGTCCCTCAACCTGGAGTCGATGTGTTCAGTCCATCAATCTTGTAGAATGTACAGCATAGGGCCGTAGACGTGGCTTATATACTGTAGTGAGGTGACGTGAAGCAGATGGAGGCGGGGTCATAGTGGTACCATCCACTAGTCGAAGTAGGTCTTCGTCCAAAGGTTGAACAATTGTTGAAGAATTCTTTGTAACAAGATCCCATGATGCTGCAGTGTCCGACAGTTGTGATGAATGGTTTGAAAAACCGACAAGTTGAAGATTGAGACACTTATGCAGCATATGGAAATCTTTATTCAGGAAACGTTTCGCCACACAGTGGCTTCATCAGTCCAATACAAAGAGGAAGGCGTAAGGAGAGGAGGAGAATGAGGTAATCAGTCCCTCAACCTGGAGTCGATGTGTTCAGTCCATCAATCTTGTAGAATGTACAGCATAGGGCCGTAGACGTGGCTTATATACTGTAGTGAGGTGACGTGAAGCAGATGGAGGCGGGGTCATAGTGGTACCATCCTCTAGTCGAAGTAGGTCTTCGTCCAAAGGTTGAACAATTGTTGAAGAATTCTTTGTAACAAGATCCCATGATGCTGCAGTGTCCGACAGTTGTGATGAATGGTTTGAAAAACCGACAAGTTGAAGATTGAGACACTTATGCAGCATATGGAAATCTTTATTCAGGAAACGTTTCGCCACACAGTGGCTTCATCAGTCCAATACAAAGAGGAAGGCGTAAGGAGAGGAGGAGAATGAGGTAATCAGTCCCTCAACCTGGAGTCGATGTGTTCAGTCCATCAATCTTGTAGAATGTACAGCATAGGGCCGTAGACGTGGCTTATATACTGTAGTGAGGTGACGTGAAGCAGATGGAGGCGGGGTCATAGTGGTACCATCCACTAGTCGAAGTAGGTCTTCGTCCAAAGGTTGAACAATTGTTGAAGAATTCTTTGTAACAAGATCCCATGATGCTGCAGTGTCCGACAGTTGTGATGAATGGTTTGAAAAAACCGACAAGTTGAAGATTGAGACACTTATGCAGCATATGGAAATCTTTATTCAGGAAACGTTTCGCCACACAGTGGCTTCATCAGTCCAATACAAAGAGGAAGGCGTAAGGAGAGGAGGAGAATGAGGTAATCAGTCCCTCAACCTGGAGTCGATGTGTTCAGTCCATCAATCTTGTAGAATGTACAGCATAGGGCCGTAGACGTGGCTTATATACTGTAGTGAGGTGACGTGAAGCAGATGGAGGCGGGGTCATAGTGGTACCATCCACTAGTCGAAGTAGGTCTTCGTCCAAAGGTTGAACAATTGTTGAAGAATTCTTTGTAACAAGATCCCATGATGCTGCAGTGTCCGACAGTTGTGATGAATGGTTTGAAAAAACCGACAAGTTGAAGATTGAGACACTTATGCAGCATATGGAAATCTTTATTCAGGAAACGTTTCGCCACACAGTGGCTTCATCAGTCCAATACAAAGAGGAAGGCGTAAGGAGAGGAGGAGAATGAGGTAATCAGTCCCTCAACCTGGAGTCGATGTGTTCAGTCCATCAATCTTGTAGAATGTACAGCATAGGGCCGTAGACGTGGCTTATATACTGTAGTGAGGTGACGTGAAGCAGATGGAGGCGGGGTCATAGTGGTACCATCCACTAGTCGAAGTAGGTCTTCGTCCAAAGGTTGAACAATTGTTGAAGAATTCTTTGTAACAAGATCCCATGATGCTGCAGTGTCCGACAGTTGTGATGAATGGTTTGAAAAACCGACAAGTTGAAGATTGAGACACTTATGCAGCATATGGAAATCTTTATTCAGGAAACGTTTCGCCACACAGTGGCTTCATCAGTCCAATACAAAGAGGAAGGCGTAAGGAGAGGAGGAGAATGAGGTAATCAGTCCCTCAACCTGGAGTCGATGTGTTCAGTCCATCAATCTTGTAGAATGTACAGCATAGGGCCGTAGACGTGGCTTATATACTGTAGTGAGGTGACGTTCAACCTTTGGACGAAGACCTACTTCGACTAGTGGATGGTACCACTATGACCCCGCCTCCATCTGCTTCACGTCACCTCACTACAGTATATAAGCCACGTCTACGGCCCTATGCTGTACATTCTACAAGATTGATGGACTGAACACATCGACTCCAGGTTGAGGGACTGATTACCTCATTCTCCTCCTCTCCTTACGCCTTCCTCTTTGTATTGGACTGATGAAGCCACTGTGTGGCGAAACGTTTCCTGAATAAAGATTTCCATATGCTGCATAAGTGTCTCAATCTTCAACTTGTCGGTTTTTCAAACCATTCATCACAAGTACATAATTGTTATTTTTGTATATAAAATGAAAACACAATAAAAAGTTTTACAGTAAGCTCATAAATCTCAAAACATAATAAAAACATGTTATTTAATTGTTATAATTTTAAACGTAAAATGAAAATAAAACAATGTGAAAAATGTATTAAGCAACTACAAGAGTCTCTTTCATCTAGGCTTCACAGTATCTAGTCACTTCAGTATTTTATATGTATTGAGCATGTTTTCCCATGATGGTCCTCCTCTCTACATAAGTTATTTGACTGAGTATTTTAAGTCTCTTGTCTTAGCACATTTCCATCAATTCTTGTATCTATTACTTTATTATAATCCACTTCAGTAGCCAACTCTTTCAGTGGAGAACAAAGCTAACACAGACAATCTATCCTCGCCCATTGTAGAACCAAGGTAGGACTTTATGCATTTGAACTGACTAAAGGATCGTTCTGCAACTGCTGTAGTTGTTGGTAAGGTCAGAAAAATGTGGTACAATGTGGACAAGTTAGGGTAAATGGAACACATGTTATTGGTACAAGTGAAATAAGGCATTAAAAAATTGTAGAGAGAACACCACTCCCCTTACTCTTCCTCTAGTTATGCCACTAGTGCCAAACAGTGTTGCAAGTATACAGTGACATAAGTAAGTAGGTAAGACACCTGCTGTCCATGTTCACCTAGCAGTAAATAGGTACCTGGGTGTTAGCTGACTGGTGTGTGTCACATCCTGGGAACAAAATTAACCTAGTTTTCCCAAAATGCTCTGCATAACCAGGGGCTTTCTTTATAGTATGTCATTGATGTAAACTGTGGTCTGTATAAGTTGTATCATATACTTGTAGAAATAAAGATTATTATTATTATAACATAGGGGGAGCGAGCACATTAAAAACCCGCCACCCTGCATGGCCTCTTTTTTTCATGCATATTGTGAAAAGAAATGTTTTGAGTTGTCTTCCTCAACTTATATTAAAATTTTCAGGAATGGGGGATGTGGTTTATAATGTTTCGTCTGGAGTTGGTGACACCGTACACAACGTGACTGCTGGAGTTAAGCGCCTGCTTACCACTCCACCTGTGAGCTGTGAGAGTGCGATGGATGATGAGGAGGAGTGTCCTGGTGTTCTACCAGCAACTCCACGCAATTCATTGTTGTCACCTGTGCCGGATAACCTTCACAGCGACCAGTAGGTTTATACGTTTATATTTCAGTTTTTAATGGGATGATTTAGCTTGTACATGTATAGTATTAGCAGTCATCAGCAGGAAACAAATATTTCACCACATATTTTCCTCTTGTGTATTGTACTTACAAATAAAGAGCATAAAAAGACAGGTGGTACATCATACCAGGTCATCTTGTGATGATATAATTACAAATACAAATTTTATTTCCTTGATAAGAAAAAATGACACCTATTGAATCCTTTTTTTATACAGTGTATAATTTTTGTATACCTCAGTAGTCCTGGCGCAGATTTTGAAATTATTGAAGAGGAAGCAGCAATAAATGATGAGCTTGGAATAACAGAGGACCACTTCTTTCAGCCAGAGGTAAATGTACAGTGTAGAAAGATAAAAATTACTCTTGTTTATTTTTAAATATAAAATATATGGAGTAAAAATGCTTATTTTGAGTCTCTGAAAAGGATGACATTAATTTCCCATTCAGTCAAAACTAGGTATTGCAGTGATATATGAACATTTTTCTTCCAGGAGTGTGCAGCATTAGATAGATGGATATTTCGTAAATAAGAGATGACATAAATTAACGTAACACAACTATGTGAAAGGGTAACCTTCCCTCAGTCTCCTCTGCATCTGCCACTAGTCACATGCGGAATCCTTTTTCCTCCCTATTCTCTCTGGCAAATCACCTGTCTCACCCACCACATCCTGGTCCTTACTCTTCAGCCACATGCTAGGGGCAGGGTACCTGTTGATCCAGGCTCTGAAACAGTCTACTGCCACCAACCACCCTTTGATCCTCACCCCTCAACCTAACTTAAAATAATTTCTGTCAGTAATTTGCCATATTCACAACTGGAGATCAGCTTTCACACCATACTAATTGTTCCAGAGTGCCAGTCTTGTATGTCGGAACCTACTGCATTTTAAAACTGACTACTGGTACATGTTTGTTAGTTGTGAATGTATGATTATTTAAATCTTAGTTTTTAAGTGAATTTTACTGTCTCTTATATGGTAAATCATATACTGTAGTACAGTACATATATTGAAAATCTATACAGCATACATAATCCTTCATTCATTTCAAATTAAATACATAATGTGGTTGTTGGAGCAACCTTGATTCCTGTTGTTAAAGTAACCTTGATTCTTGTTGCTAGAGCAACCTTAATTCCTGTTGTTAGAGCAGCCTTGATTCCTGTTGTTAGAGCAGCCTTGATTCCTGTTGTTAGAGCAACCTTGATTCATGTTATTACAGCAACCTTGATGCCTGTTGTTAGAACAACCTTGATTCCTGTCATTAGAGCAATCTTGATTCCTTGTTCAAATCCTGAAAGCCTAATCTGAAACCTCCTTGAATGTTTCAGGATAATTTGTTGTACATGAATGAAGAATCACTTGAGAGAAGCATTGACAAATGCAAGTCACTGATTCTGCAGAGTGAAGAGTCTACCAGCAGAAGACGAGCCCTCGTTCACAAGCTCATACAACTGAGATTGCGATTACAGGTTTGATGATCCAGTTATACCGTACCTCGAGGCTCATAAAGAAGTACGCTCTCTCATGACTTTTCCAAGTCAACATTTCCTTGATAGTTCAACACTAGGGGTTATGCCATGTGATTCTAGTACAAAAATAACATTTGTTACACACTTTTTCCAGTGAAATATGAGGTTAGGATTAGGAAAATAATGGACGAGGCAGGATTAGGAAAGTAGTGGAAAAAGCAGGATAAGAAAAGTAATGGATGAGGTGGAAATATTTGTTTGGCATACTTTATTATATTTTTTTATTATCACACTGGCCGATTCCCACCAAGGCAGGGTGGCCCGAAAAAGAAAAACTTTCACCATCACTCACTCCATCACTGTCTTGCCAGAAGGGTGCTTTACACTACAGTTTTTAAACTGCAACATTAACACCCCTCCTTCAGAGTGCAGGCACTGTACTTCCCATCTCCAGGACTCAAGTCCGGCCTGCCGGTTTCCCTGAACCCCTTCATAAATGTTACTTTGCTCACACTCCAACAGCACGTCAAGTATTAAAAACCATTTGTCTCCATTCACTCCTATCAAACATGCTCATGCATGCCCGCTGCAAGTCCAAGCCCCTCGCACACAAAACCTCCTTCACCCCCTCCCTCCAACCTTTCCTAGGCCGACCCCTACCCCGCCTTCCTTCCACTACAGACTGATACACTCTTGAAGTCATTCTGTTTTGCTCCATTCTCTCTACAAGTCTGAACCACCTCAACAACCCTTCCTCAGCCCTCTGGACAACAGTTTTGGCAATCCCGCACCTCCTCCTAACTTCCAAACTACGAATTCTCTGCATTATATTCACACCACACATTGCCCTCAGACATGACATCTCCACTGCCTCCAGCCTTCTCCTCGCTGCAACATTCATCACCCATGCTTCACACCCATATAAGAGCGTTGGTAAAACTATACTCTCATACATTCCCCTCTTTGCCTCCAGGGACAAAGTTCTTTGTCTCCACAGACTCCTAAGTGCACTGCTCACCCCTTTTCCCCTCATCAATTCTATGATTCACCTCATCTTTCATAGACCCATCCGCTGACACGTCCACTCCCAAATATCTGAATACATTCACCTCCTCCTTACTCTTTCCCCTCCAATCTGATATCCAATCTTTCATCACCTAATCTTTTTGTTATCCTCATAACCTTACTCTTTCCTGTATTCACTTTTAATTTTCTTTTTTTGCATACCCTACCAAATTCATCCACCAACCTCTGCAACTTCTCTTCAGAATCTCCCAAGAGCACAGTGTCATCAGCAAAGAGCAGCTGTGACAACTCCCACCTTATGTGTGATTCTTTATCTTTTAACTCCATGCCTCTTGCCAAGACCCTCGCATTTACTTCTCTTACAACCCCATCTATAAATATATTAAACAACCACGGTGACATCACACATCCTTGTCTAAGGCCTACTTTTACTGGGAAATAATCTCCCTCTTTCCTACATACTCTTACTTGAGCCTCACTATCCTCGTAAAAACTCTTCACTGCTTTCAGTAACCTACCTCCTATACCATACACCTGTATGGTATAGGCATACTTAGTTGGTATAATTATTCATATAAATATGTCTCCAGAGGCTACACTTTCTACCATTATTTTGCCTCTTATCTCTTTCTCTATAAGAATTTTTGCTGTAAATTTATTAAATATTTGACATCATTAAACTTGGTGGAGATGTGCATTTCCCTGTACAAGTCTGACATTTGGCCTTATCCAGAAAACACAATGTTGTTTGCTCATATGCTAAGAAAGCAGATTCCTTAATTCTTTTTGACTATTACTGCTTAACATTCACAACAGGCAGGTTCTTTCTTGTCTCAGGTCTTCCTCTTGACCTAGTGATCATCAGTAGTGATCATCCAGTGCCAGATTCATTATTATCCTTTTGATCTATGGCAACCACCATTTGCTGTAGGGTGACCAACTTGCTGTAGGTCATTCATTTCTTATTGTTTCTCCCTGAAAAAGAATTATACAATATTGTATAGCACTGTACTGTATTATTGTATCTTATATTGTTTTGATCCCTGTGAGATAATGGAATAAAAATATAATATTAGTAACTGAAATGTATTGATATAGAATTAATTGTTTTTTAACACATTAGTTTTATAGGCTAAGAGCTGTTATCCTACCTAAGCTCATTCCGGAGCCCAACCCTATCTAAGATATACTACGACCCCCTTGGGATGCGACCCACAAGAGTTGGCTAACACCCAGGTACCTACTCACTGCTAAGTGAACAGGGACAGCAGATGTAAGGAAACATGCCTAACATTTCCACTCGTGCCAAGGATTGAACTAAGGACACTCAGTGTGTGAGCTGAGTACGCTATCCACCAAACCACGGGACAGTTTTTATTGCTGTGACCATTATGATATAATGTAATGTAGTAGATACTATAGAATTACTATCATTTATAGGTACATTATGAACCTTATAAGAAAATGTAATTAAGTCCATTCTCAAATGGATACTGTAGGATTACTATAGGGTATATTACTGTGAATCTTATGAGACAGTGTAATAAATATTAGTCCAAGCAGGAGTACACTACATGTTATCTTTCAACAGGAGATTCATGATGCAGCTGAAATTGCTTCCACTGGTGTTATCATGTGTATGAGTCACCAGCTGCAGCCTCAGAAGCCGCCCCTCAGTCGTGCATCCAAGCAGTACTGTGACAAGTGTGCACAGATCATCTGGGGTGTCATACATGTCTCTTACGTGTGTGCCTGTAAGTTGTATGTGTGTATCATCTGGAGTATCATTCATGTATCATACATGTGCCTATAAGTTGTGTATGTGTGTCATCTGGAGTATCAGTCATGTATCATACATGTGCCTGTAAGTTGTGTGTATGTCATCTGGAATATCAGTCATGTACCATACATGTGTGTGTGTGTGTGTGTGTGTGTGTGTGCACGCACGTGCACGCGTGCATCATTTGAAGTGTCAACAATATATCCTCTATGTATATTAGTTATAATTATCTGTCTGTAGCTACAGGAGTCAAGCTCTACCCTTTTGTGTCCCGTCTTCATTAATATATTCATTATACATTTTTAAATTTCCTGTGTTGTTGCACTTCCTACCTCCTCCTAAGTCCAACATCAGACTAATCCTATAAAAGATAAATCACACAAATCATAATATCTAAACAAGTATCAAAGTGTGTAAGTCACTAGCATATGACCCCAAGTTCACACATAATGTGTGTGTGTGTGTGTGTGTGTGTGTGTGTGTGTGTGTGTGTGTGTGTGTGTGTGTGTGTGCAGATACCATCTAGTCAAAGATTAATTTTTTTTTTTTAACAAAACAGCCATTTCCCACCGAGGAAAGGTGACCCGAAAAAGAAGAAACACTTTCATCATCGTTCATTCCATCAAAGATTAAGTCTCCAAAATAGACTGTAGATGTTAACAAGGTAATCAGAGATGAAGTCCATTCAATCCTGACATAAACAGTCCACAAAACTAGGCAAATACTGCTGTTAGTCCATTCACTACTAAATATGCAGATGCAAACCTCTTCCTGTGACTGAGTGCACACACAGTAGTACAGAAATACAGTAGGACACCCATATCTGTGGTTCCATTTTCCGATATTTCAGTTATCTGCTGTTTACCGTGGCCTGGAAATAACCCGTACTTTTTCTCAGTAATGGCCTCAAAGTGCAAAATTAGTGATGCTGGCAGTTATTCAAAGCTTAAGAGAAGCTGTGAAGTGCTTCCTGTCAGTGAAAATGTGCTAATTCTTGACTTATTGTGCATAATTTATTAATTAAAGTTTATAATAGGTAGGGGAAGGAAGGCAGGGTAGGGGTCGTCCTCGAAAAGGTTGGAGGGAGGGGGTAAAGGAGGTTTTGTGGGTGAGGGGCTTGGATTTCCAGCAAGCGTGCGTGAGCGTGTTAGATAGGAGTGAATAGAGACGAATGGTATTTGGGACCTGACGAGCTGTTGGAGTGTGAGCAGGGTAATATTTAATGAAGGGATTCAAGGAAATTGATTATTTTATATAGCCAGACTTGAGTCCTGGAAATGGGAAGTACAATGCCTGCACTTTAAAGGAGGGGTTTGGGATATTGGTAGTTTGGAGGGATATGTTGTGTATCTTTATACGTATATACTTCTAAACTGTTGTATTCTGAGCACCTCTGCAAAAACAGTGATTATGTGTGAGTGAGGTGAAAGTGTGAATGATGATGAAAGTATTTTCTTTTTGGGATTTTCTTTCTTTTTGGGTCACCGTGCCTCAGTGGGAGACGGCCAACTTGTTAAAAAAAAAAAATAGGTATGTATGTAAACGAAAAAGAACTTATAGGATTCACTACTACTATTCACATTTTGGTATCCACGACAAGTCCTTAGAATGTATTCCTGAGGATACTGGGGTTGTACTGTAGTTCAGTATACCAATCTTAAGTTAAGGTCACACAATGGGCATAGGCTGCAGACAAAACTGTGCTTCAAAATTCTAAGTCCCAAAAATGACACGTTAATGGAGATTGAGTAACCCCTCACCTCCTTCCCATTGGTGACAAAACACCTGAGCTTTGAGTAAGTGTGGAGGGTGGAGGGCTGCACCAGTCACTGTGCTACACAGTAGCCATGTCCACCACTCATTCTGCCAGTAGTTAGTGTGAAGTGAGACAGCACCTCCACTGACTATCTCACTGTTATAAATAATCAAATCTGTCATTCAATAGAAATGGTATGAAGAAAATTATATGATTTATTCAAGTAAATGCCTTTGACTTAGACAATTATAGTTAATGCTTGTTAAAATAACACTTGCAATGGTTAAACATGAAACACTAAACGAGTACCAACTAATGCACAGATGTATATTACAATAACAAGTGAAGTACATGCACTGCTGGAAAGATGGCTAGGAAATGAGTGAAGGAAATGTGTGCACTTTCTGGGTCCTCTTTCTTGGTAGGAAATGGTCTTTGTATTGGTACAGTATTAAAAATAACTGGAAGTTTCTAAAATTCTTTTTATTTTACAGTATGTGAATATAGGTGCCATGGTAGATGTGTGGATGGTATCCAGAGAAGATGTGCCAGTGTAAAGGTGAACGAAGATGCCACATATATTTTACGCATCTGTCCTGAAGTTGGATTGTCTGCCCAGAACTATAAATGTGCTGAGTGCAAGAGACTCATCACCAACAGTAAGTTAGAGCATTGTTGTTATGACAGGTATTGTGAGCCTTAATAAAGATTTCTAAAAAAAAATGCATTTATTCTTAACATATACTTCTTGGAAGGGTCATTTGAATTGTGATGACCATAAGCTTTTGGCAGGGCAGTTGTTGGAATGATGGTGAAAGTGTTTCCTTCATTGGGTCACCCTACCTTGCTAGGAAACAGCCACTAATATAAAAAGAAATTACAATACAGTATGTTTATTCTAATATTGATACTGTTCTGAGCTGTGTTTTTCACAGTCAAATGCTGTATAACATTTCTGGGTTTAGCGCCTAATTTGATTATTATTATTTTAGCACTCAAATTGGGTATGAATGTAGCCTCTAAAATTTCTTTTGATATCAAGGGAAATTGGATATTTGTTGAAGAATTTTTTTAATACTTGATGTGCTGTTGGAGTGTGAGGAAAGTAACATTTATGAAGGGATTCAGGGAAACCAGCAGACCGGACTTGATGGGAAGTGTAGATCAATGGTTCAGAGAACCGACACGTTGATAAATTAGACACATGTGCAAATCTTGGTTATCTTTATTGAGGAAACGTTTTGCCACACAGTGGCTTCATCAGTCCATACATAGGAGAAACTTGAGGAATAGGAGGAGAATGAGGTAATCAGTCCCTCAACCTTGAGTCGATGTGGTCAGTCCATCAATCGACTCAAGGTTGAGGGACTGATTACCTCATTCTCCTCCTATTTTTCAAGTTTCTCCTATGTATGGACTGATGAAGTCACTGTGTGGCAAAACGTTTCCTCAATAAAGATACCCAAGAGCTGCACTTGATGGGAAGTACAGTGTCTGCACTCTGCAGGAGGAGTGTTAATGTTGCAGTTTTATAACTGTAGTGTAAAGCACCCCTCTGGCAAGACAGTGATGGAGTGAATTGGGCCACCCTGCCTTGGTGGGAATTGGCTGATGTGTTAATAAATAATAAATAAAAATAATTTTTTGTGCAATGCTTTTAGAAAGTAATCCTTGTATGATATTTTGCTTATTAATTTGAGTGTAAATAGTAAGAGAGAATAAGTTACAGAATAAGTTCAGTGAGTTTTAACTTTAGTTCTTATAGTCAGACTCAAAGGCAGGAGTATAGAGCATGTATAGATATTTGGGGGACTTGAGTCTTGGAGGTGGGAAGTACAGTGTCTGCACCCTGAACGAGGAGTGTTGATACACTGCAGATTTTTAACTCTAGTTGTGGTGTGCCTCTGACAAGATAGTGATAGAAAAAATGATGATGAAAGTGTTTCTTCTTTTTCGGGTTACCCGGCCTCAATGGGAAATGACCAGTGTGTTAATAAAAAAAATAAAAGATTTTGACATTGCTGTTCAGTGGCTTAAAGTATACTCATCTCAATATTCATTTTATCACATTATTATAATCATTATAATCATGGGGAGTGCTAAACCTGTATGATTATGCAGTGCATGTGGGGCGATGGAAGGTATTCAGGCTCAATTCAGGGAACCAGAGCACATATCCAATTCCCTAGATCAAAAGCCCCTCACCAGCATCAAGGATCATTTTATCACAAAATAATTATGTGCTTTATCATGCACCAACTTATGCACAATGCTTATGGCTATATATATATATAGCACTGCCAATCTCTGTTAAAGGAGAGAGATAGTCAAATATAGCATAAAAGCAAAAAACCACAAGGTGAAAAGTACTATTTGCATTATATCTCAATAAACATGGCTGACTGGCAGGTGATACCTTATGATGGTTAAACTTTAACAGGTAAAAAACCCTGAAGCACAACTTTTTTCTACCCTTCTCATATAGGCTACCAGGAATGTTGCCAGGCAGTGGGCAAGGAGCGAAGGCTAGACTCCATTCTGGAGAAGTAGGCAAGGAGTCAAGGCCAGACTGCTGTCTGGAGAAGTAGGCGGGGAATCAAGGCCAGACTGCTTTCTGGAGCAGTGGGCAAGGAGCGAAGGCTAGACTGCTTTTTGGAGCAGTGGGCAAAGAGCAAAAGCTAGACTGCTTTTCTAGAGCAGTGGGCAAGGAGCAAAGGCCAGACTACATTCTGGAGTATCGTATTTCCTCCTAACTAAATACATGACCCTATCATTTACCAAGTACCAAAATCGTGTTTCCAGTTCAATTCTGATTCAGCGTTCAGTTGTAGTACTCAAAAGAACAAAAAGGCACAATACCATCACTGGAACAATACACAAATAACCCCACATATAGGAGAGAGGGGCTTACTAGACCAAAACATCGTGGTAAGCTCCTCTCTCCTATGTGTGTATTATTTGTGTATTGTAGTACTCTACCCTGTGAGCCATGAGAGTAATGTCTATTAAGAAGTCAATCATGGAAGAATTGCTCCTCTCAACTTAAAATTCAGACTCACTTGAATTGTAACATCTGCTTGATTCAGGCAAGAGAGTTATTGAATAATTGATGGTAAGTAAATTTATTTAGGTACAGGTACTCACACAGTTACACAAATTATCATACATAGTAACATATGTGTAAATTACTTAGGATAACCTGAAAAGAGACAGACAAAGTGTCTTTTTATTTATTTATTTATTTATTAATTTGAACATGATACATAGAAGTACAAGGAAATACAGTGGTTAAGTGCAACATGCCAAAGCCCCTTGTATGCAGAGCATTATGGGCAGGCTTAAAATTAACTTAAGATTAACTGAGCACAAGTGAGTGTTTCAAAGACAGGTCATATGGTTCTTTACTGTGTTGCTGTGCATTCAGTAGAATGGAGTATTCTGTTAGGTAATTTTTTGTTTTTGTTTTTTTTCAACAAGTCGGTCGTCTCCCACTGAGGCAGGGTGACCCAAAAAAGAAAGAAAATCCCCAAAAAGAAAATACATTCATCATCATTCAACACTTTCACCACACTCACACATTATCACTGCTTTTGCAGAGGTGCTCAGAATACAACAGTTTCGAAGCATATACGTATAAAGATACACAACATATCCCTCCAAACTGCCAATATCCCAAACACTCCTTTAAAGTACAGGCATTGTACTTCCCATTTCCAGGACTCAAGTCCGTCTATATGAAAATAACCGGTTTCCCTGAATCCCTTCACTAAATATTACCCTGCTCACACTCCAACAGATCGTCAGGTCCCAAGTATCATTTGTCTCCATTCACTCCTATCTAACACGCTCATGCACGCTTGCTGGAAGTCCAAGCCCCTCACCCACAAAACCTCCTTTACCCCCTCTTTCCAACCCTTTCGAGGACGACCCCTACCCCTCTTTCCTTCCCCTATAGATTTATATGCTTTCCATGTCATTCTACTTTGATCCATTCTCTCTAAATGACCAAACCACCTCAACAACCCCTCTTCTGCCCTCTGACTAATGCTTTTATTAACTCCACACCTTCTCCTAATTTCCACACTCCGAATTTTCTGCATAATATTTACACCACACATTGCCCTTAGACAGGACATCTCCACTGCCTCCAACCGTCTCCTCGCTGCTGCATTTACCACCCAAGCTTCACATCCATATAAGAGTGTTGGTACTACTATACTTTCATACATTCCCTTCTTTGCCTCCATAGACAACGTTTTTTGACTCCACATATACCTCAACGCACCACTCACCTTTTTTTCCCTCATCAATTTCTATGATTAACCTCATCCTTCATAAATCCATCCGCCGACACGTCAACTCCCAAGTATCTGAAAACATTCACTTCTTCCATACTCCTCCTCCCAATTTGATATCCAATTTTTCTTTATCTAAATCATTTGATACCCTCATCACCTTACTCTTTTCTATGTTCACTTTCAACTTTCTACCTTTACACACATTCTCAAACTCATCCACTAACCTTTGCAATTTTTCTTTAGAATCTCCCATAAGCACAGTATCATCAGCAAAAAGTAACTGTGTCAATTCCCATTTTGAAATTGATTCCCCATAATTTAATCCCACCCCTCTCCCGAACACCCTAGCATTTACTTCTTTTACAATCCCATCTATAAACATATTAAACAACCATGGTGACATTACACATCCCTGTCTAAGACCTACTTTTACCGGGAAGTATTTTCCCTCTCTTCTACACACCCTAACCTGAGCCTCACTATCCTCATAAAAGCTCTTTACAGCATTTAGTAACTTACCACCTATTCCATAAACTTGCAACATCTGCCACATTGCTCCTCTATCCACTCTATCATATGCCTTTTTTCTAAATCCATAAATGCAATAAAAACTTCCCTACCTTTATCTAAATACTGTTCACATATATGCTTCAATGTAAACACTTGATCTACACATCCCTACCCACTCTGAAGCCTCCTTGCTCATCCGCAATTCTACATTCTGTCTTACCTCTAATTCTTTCAATTATAACCCTACCGTATACTTTTCCGGGTATACTCAGTAAACTTATTCCTCTATAATTTTTACAATCTCTTTTGTCCCCTTTCCCTTTATATAAAGGGACTATACATGCTCTCCGCCAATCCCTAGGTACCTTCCCCTCTTTCATACATTTATTAAACAAAAGTTACCAACCACTCCAACACTATATACCCCCTGCTTTTAACATTTCTGTCATGATCCCATCAGTTCCAGCTGCTTTAACCCCTTTTTTATTCTACGTAATGCCTCACGTACCTCCACCACACTTACATTCTGCTCTTCTTCACTCCTAAAAGATGGTATACCTCCCTGGCCAGTGCATGAAATTACCGCCTCCCTTTCTTCCTCAACATTTAAAAGTTCCTCAAAATATTCTCGCCATCTACCTAATACCTCCCTCTCCCCATCTACTAACTCCCCCTACTCTGTTTTTTAACGGACAAATCCATACTTTCCCTAGGCTTTCTTAACTTGTTTAACTCACTCCAAAATTTTTTCTTATTTTCATTAAAATTTCTTGACAGTGCCTCTCCCACTCTTTCATCTGCTCTCCTTTTGCACTCTCTCACCACTCTCTTCACCTTTCTTTTACTCTCCATATACTCTGCTCTTCTTAAAACACTTCTGCTTTGTAAAAACCTCTCGTAAGCTACCTTTTTCTCTTTTATCACACCCTTTACTTCATCATTCCACCAATCACTCCTCTTTCCTCCTGCCCCCACCCTCCTATAACCACAAACTTCTGCCCCACATTCTAATACTGCATTTTTAAAACTATTCCAACCCTCTTCAACCCCCCCACTACTCATCTTTGCACTAGCCCACCTTTCTGCCAATAGTTGCTTATATCTCGCCCGAACTTCCTCTTCCCTTAGTTTATACACTTTCACCTCCCTCTTACTTGTTGTTGCCACCTTCCTCTTTTCCCATCTACCTCTTACTCTAACTGTAGCTACAACTAAATAATGATCTGATATATCAGTTGCCCCTCTATAAACATGTACATCCTGGAGCCTACCCATCAACCTTTTATCCACCAATACATAATCTAACAAACTACTTTCATTACGTGCTACATCATACCTTGTATATTTATTTATCCTCTTTTTCATAAAATATGTATTACTTATTACCAAATTTCTTTCTACACATAGCTCAATTAAAGGCTCCCCATTTACATTTACTCCTGGCACCCCAGATTTACCTACTACTCCCTCCATAAACATTTTTACCCACTTTAGCATTGAAATCCCCAACCACCATTACTCTCACACTTGATTCAAAACTCCCCACGCATTCACTCAACATTTCCCAGAATCTCTCTCTCTCCTCTACACTTCTCTCTTCTCCAGGTGCATACACGCTTACTATAACCCACTTTTCACATCCAATCTTTATTTTACTCCACATAATCCTTGAACTTATGCATTTGTAGTCCTCTTTTCCTGCCATAGCTTATCCTTCAACATTATTGGCTACTCCTTCTTTAGCTCCAACTCTATTTGAAACCCCTGACCTAATCCCATTTATTCCTCTCCATTGAAACTCTCCCACCCCTTCAGCTTTGTTTCACTTAAAGCCAGGACATCCAGTTTCTTCTCATTCATAACATCCACAATCATCTCTTTCTTATCATTTGCACAACATCCACGTACATTCAGACTTCCCACTTTGACAATTTTCTTCTTCTTATTCTTTTTAGTAATCTTTTCAGGAAAAGGGGTTACTAGCCCATTGTTCCCGGCATTTTAGTTGACTTTTACAACACGCATGGCTTACGGAGGAAAGATTCTTATTCCACTTCCCCATGGATATAAAAGGAAAAGTAATAAGACCAAGAACTATTAAGATAAAATCAAAGAAAACTCAGATGAGTGTGTATAAATAAACGTGTACATGTATGTGTAGTGTGACCTAAGTGTAAGTAGAAGTAGCAAGACATGCCTGTAATCTTGCATATTTATGAGACAGACAAAAGACACCAGCAATCCTACCATCATGTAAAACAATTACAGGCTTTCATTTTACACTCACTTGGCAGGATGGTAGTACCTCCCTGGGTGGTTGCTTCTCTACCAACCTACTATTAAAAATTAAAAATAACAAAGTTTGATTTGGTCCCAGGTTAAACATTTGTGAGATACAATTTTTTTTTTTTTTCAACAAGTCGGCCGTCTCCCACCGAGGCAGGGTGACCCAAAAAAGAAAGAAAATCCCCAAAAAGAAAATACTTTCATCATCATTCAACACTTTCACCACACTCACACATTATCACTGCTTTTGCAGAGGTGCTCAGAATACAACAGTTCAGAAGCATATATGTATAAAGATACACAACATATCCCTCCAAACTGCCAATATCCCAAACCCCTCCTTTAAAGTGCAGGCATTGTACTTCCCATTTCCAGGACTCAAGTCCGACTATATGAAAATAACCGGTTTCCCTGAATCCCTTCACTAAATATTACCCTGCTCACACTCCAACAGATCGTCAGGTCCCAAGTATCATTCGCCTCCATTCACTCCTATCTAATACGCTCATGCACGCTTACTGGAAGATACAATTATTCAGTATCTATTTAGTTGTGGGTGAGTAAGTGATTTTTAAGAAGAGACTTGAATTTATAAACAGACAGTGTTTCTTTTATATTCACAGGTAATGAATTCCAGATTTTTGGGCCTTTTATGTGCATTGAGTTTTTGCATAATGTGAGTTGGACACGAGGAATATCAAAGAATGATCTGTGTCTTGTGTTATTGTCATGTGTTCTGTTGAGGTCGGTAAGGAGACATTTGATGGGGGGGTTTATATCCGAGTTAAGTGTTCCATGTATGTAGTAGGTACAATAATAAGTATGGATGTTTTGTATGGTGAGTAGGTTCAGAGTTTTGAATACAGTGGACCCCCGCCTAACGATCAGCTCCCAACTCGACCAATTATGTAAGTGTATTTTTGTAAGTGCTTTTGTAGGTGTATTTTTGGGGGTCTGAAACGGACTAATCTAATTCACAATATTCCTTATGAATCTGGAGTTGAATCTGGACAGAGTTCCGGGGGTCAACGCCCCCGCGGCCCGGTCTGTGACCAGGCCTCCTGGTGGATCAGCGCCTGATCAACCAGGCTGTTGCTGCTGGCTGCACGCAAACCAACATACGAGCCACAGCCCGGCTGATCAGGAAAAAATTCGGTCTATAACGGCACCCAAACAGACTTCTGGATTGAAATAATATCGTTAGGCCGGGGTCCACTGTATTGGTAGAGTGTGCTGCCTTTAGTGGGAATTTGTTATCATTCTGACTTATCGTATATTATTTATTTATGCTCCTTGTCATTTGTAGCTACAGTTTTTTTTATGAAATTCTTGCTAAGGCTCTCAAATGTGTTAAATGATTATTTAGTATATGTTTTTTCTGATTTTTTTCAGCTTGAGTGAACTGCATGTTTAAATATTTTATTTTGATGCAGCAAAACTTTCAGCTTTTAGATCACCAGGTGTGGAGGACTCTTTCAGTTCAGTCTTGTTACATTCTAATTTGTGTAGGATGAACTCCGGATACTTTCTGAAACAGTGATGTTATATATTGAACATTTGGCCTGTGATACTTTTATATTATTTAGCTAATATCCATTTAACTAAAAAAATATGCAGTTTGTGTACCAGTATTAAATGTATTTGAATTAATAGATCAAACTTAGAGGAGCTAGTAACCCCTTCTCCTGTAGGAATTACTAAATGTAAAAGGAAAAACTTTCGCTTTTCTTTATAGGTCACCCTGCCTTGATGGGATATGGCCATTACGTTAACAAAAAAAAAAAATAGAATATCATACAGTACTTAGAATTAAGTTGGGATTTGCAGAAGTGTTGTTTTTCTTGTGACTGGTAATACTTTCATAGATATATACTCTATTATATTTTTTTGCTTCTAACATTTCTTCAATATTTCCCATCTTAGGTAAATTTGTTCATGTATAAGATGTAAGCATTGATATTAAAATGGTAAAGAAGTGGAATGAGCAGTTAACAATAGGTACATTGCATCTCCATCTATTCTTGTTGTTGTGTACTAACTTCCCGGTATCTAAAAGTGGAGGGTTTTGTTGTCACTTAATTTGCTTTTATTTGATTTCATTCCCTGATTTAGTTTTTTACTGTACCTCCAGTGTGGTGTGCATAATTAATTTCCCAGTTCTTTTAACTTATTGAATTGCTTATAGAGATACAGTACATAGTGGTCTTCGGCCAGAGACGCTACATAAGTCTGCATTTTGCATGTGTACTTCTTTTTTTTTTGTTACTTGAAGAATATTGGTGTGGTTATCTAATTTTGCACTTTAATTTTTTTCAGAATACAATATAATAACAAAAAGTGGAAGGAAATTGAAATCGAAAGGTATTCCAGCTCAGTACTTGCAGTGTAGTAGGACAATAGAGGTATTATGCAATAATAGAATTCTCTTCTTATCTTAAATTGATTAATGCAACAAGCTCAAAGAATTTACGTAATATTTTAATGTGCTGTTCAACTTCGGTGAAAAGCTAAAAACAAATATTTCAATCACTTTTATAATGTGTCATTTGCATTTTTGAGGAACACAGTGTTATACTCCATTAATTTTGTTGAGAATGTAATTGATAAGTCACAAAACACTTAAAATAGTGTTTCTCTTTCATTGTGGTCTAATTATATTAATTACATTTTTGAAGATAATCCGAATCTCTATAGATTTTTGTCATCAAAGTTTAACTAAATAGTATTAATACATCTAAACTTCCACTAGTTTCTTCTTTTTTTTTTCAAAAAGATTGCAAGAATACATTTATTATGAGTTTATAAATAGCATAGTAAACACTGGTTAAGAGGATTCTACTATATAACAGTTAATACCTTTATTTCTTTTACTATACAGCTACAGTATACAATTAAGGTCCTTTATAATAAGCTTTAATTTAGAGCAGTTGTATATAAAAATTATCGTAGATTCTTTACAATAATGTATATTCAGTAGTGTGTACTAATTATTGTGTACCAGCAATAAGATTAGGTTTAGCAAATTGTATGTTGTGGGCTGATGGATGTTGGTTTGAGTGTGTTATAATGTAGTGGCTAGCACAAATAGTTGCTAGTATAGACAGTGGCAAGTATAGGGTGTGCCTAGGATAGGTTGTGGCTAGCATAGGTAGCTACTAGTTTGCCTCAGTAATGAGAATTTAAGAGTTTGACACCTAAGGAAATTTGATTAAGTTTCTTATTAGTCATTGTGCACTCAACATCAACAAGGGTTCTGGATGTATAATGGCAGATCAAGTTGTAAGAAGAAAAAATGCATATGTTAGGGTTTACAGTGAGCTGAGAAACTTCTAATCTGCAACAAATATTGGGATGGAAGCTTTTTACCTTCTGTGGTCTTCCATTGTTAATGTATCTTGATAAGTAAGATATACGTGCAACAGTTAGGCATCTTTATTCTGAAATGTTTCGCCTGAAGAGTAGGCTTCTGCTGCCTACTATGTATTCGACTAAAGAAGCCTCTTGTGTAGGTGAAACATTTCAGAATAAAGATACCTAACTGTTGCAGTTAGGTATCTTTGTCAGTATTGTATACCATTATTATGTTTATATGTTTGGTATCTTTGAAGTCTTCTCTTTGTGGGAAATTACCATCCTAGCATGGTGGGACCTGAACAGTTGAGATTCTCGAGTGTGTCATGAGCACACTACAAAATAAAAAAATTTTGAAAGTTACCAAATGTCTTTGTGTAAAATTATACGCCATACAGCACACAGACTGGTTGCAAATCTGCAAACTGAAATTACTCCTTACAAGATGAGAATGTATGACTCCTGAGGAAACTTTTTTCTCAGTGGCTCATTAAGAGCATCTTACAAACTGTGTTGATGCTTAAATAATTGTGTCTTTGACACAAGGCTACAGATTTAGTGTCTGGTGAAGCACTTGGCTTCCTTCACTGGCGTGCAGCCACAAGTAAGGACAAAAGATAGTGTTTATGTGGAGCAAGTCATGAAGACTTCCAAGTAGCACTGAAGTGTAGTGGAAAAGTAGAATTATTAGTTATATTTGCAAATCTTTCTTTCAACAAACCAGCCGTATCCCACCGAGGTGGGGTGGCCCAAAAGGAAAAACGAAAGTTTCTCCTTTTACATTTAGTAATATATACAGGAGAAGGGGTTACTAGCCCCTTGCTCCCGGCATTTTAGTCGCCCCTTACAACACGCATGGCTTACGGAGGAAGAATTCTGTTCCACCTCCCCATGGAGATAAGAGAAAATAAACAAGAACAAGAACTAGAAAGAAAATAGAAGAAAACCCAGAGGGGTATGTATATATATGCTTGTACATGTATGTGTAGTGTGACCTAAGTGTAAGTAGAAGTAGCAAGACGTACCTGAAATCTTGCATGTTCATGAGACAGAAAAAAGGACACCAGCAATCCTACCATCATGTAAAACAATTACAGGCTTTCGTTTTACACTCACTTGGCAGGACGGTAGTACGTCCCTGGGCAGTTGCTGTCTACCAACCTACTACCTAGGTATTTGCAAATTTTTTTTTTTTTTTTTTTTTTTTCAACAAACTGGCCGTATCCCACCAAGGCAGGGTGACCCAAAAAGAAAAACGAAAGTTTCTCTTTTTAAATTTAGTAATTTATATGGGAGAAGGGGTTACTAGTCCCTTGCTCCCGGCATTTTAGTCGCCTCTTACAACACGCATGGCTTACGGAGGAAGAATTCTGTTCCACTTCCCCATGGAGATAAGAGGAAATAAACAAGAACAAGAACTAGAAAGAAAATAGAAGAAAACCCAAAGGGGTGTGCTTGTACATGTACGTGTAGTGTGACCTAAGTGTAAGTAGAAGTAGCAAGACGTACCTGAAATCTTGCATGTTCATGAGACAGAAAAAAGGACACCAGCAATCCTACCATCATGTAAAACAATTACAGGCTTTCGTTTTACACTCACTTGGCAGGACGGTAGTACGTCCCTGGGCAGTTGCTGTCTACCAACCTACTACCTAGGTATTTGCAAATCCTTTCTTCTTTCTTTCAACACACCGGCTGTGTCCCACCGAGGCGGGGTGGCCCAAAAGGAAAACGAAAGTTTCTCCTTTTACATTTAGTAATATATACAGGAAAAGAGGTTACTAGCCCCTTGCTCCCGGCATTTTAGTCGCCTCTTACAACACGCATGGCTTACGGAGGAAGAATTCTGTTCCACTTCCCCATGGAGATAAGGGGAAATAAACAAGAATAAGAACTAGAAAGAAAATACAGTAGAAGAAAACCCAGAGGGATGTGTATATATATGCTTGTACATGTATGTGTAGCGTGACCTAAGTGTAAGTAGAAGTAGCAAGACGTACCTGAAATCTTGCATGGTCATGAGACAGAAAAAAGGACACCAGCAATCCTACCATCATGTAAAACAATTACAGGCTTTCGTTTTACACTCACTTGGCAGGACGGTAGTACCTCCCTGGGCGGTTGCTGTCTACCAACCTACTACCTAGGTATTTGCAAATGTCTGTAAATATTTAATTTGGTTTTATTAGAGGAGGAGTGCTTCCAAAAAAATAGGTATACCTATGAAGTTTTCCTAATGCTTTGTGTAAGTGTTCTGTGAAGTCATAATGTGAGCTTTAAATAATTGGAGGTATCAGCATTTTTACAGGCTTAATGGCAGGCCTAAGTGAACTTGTAAATAATATTTCAGATTTGTAATTTTAATACAATGCTGTTATATTGCTCATAAAATATACTTAAAAGCATATCATAAATGTATTCAAATATGATGTACTTAAGAATTTTATTGATATTTAAGCCATTATTTTTTATAGCTTGTTAATTTTACCATTGTACCTTGTGGTACTCCCCATTGTATAATGATTTTTGATATGTTTGTGTTACTAATGAGTGTGTTTTATGTTTTAGCCCATCCAAGGGGTGTTTCATGCTTTGGTGACCCCTTCAAGAAAGGTATAAACTCTTAAGTGATGTATAATTTATCTCTGTGACTGCAATCTCTTCCAAGGCTTGAGCAATTTTCAACAAGTCTAATATCTTGTAAACACTGGTTGATGTAGGCTTTAGAGTACTGTTATACTAGAGTATATTTAAATTTTTACTAAATATAGTAAATATAAATTTACAAATATTCACATGCTGTTTTAGTATATAATGTAAATTGTCAGTTTTGTGTAGATAAAATGTGGGACTGTTAGATGTGTGCCTTAACTTATTGGGAATATAAGCTGGCAGTGTCTGCTCCTGCTTATGTACTTATATTACAGCTTTCATAATTTTTTCTTGCTTTTTCTCCTCTTATTTTACAATTTTTTCTTGCTTTTTCTCCTCTTATTTTACTACTACTATTCATGTACAGAAGGGTCTCCACATATACAGCGCCTCTTTTTGATGTTCCACGTTTTTGTTGGCCTTCAGTTGAACTAGTGTTCCACCCACCGGTGAAAATTGCTGGCAGGTGAAACATAATGAACAATGGCTCAGTTTGAAGCCAGTGAAAACATGGAACACTGGAAAGAGGTGCTGTATATGCTGGGCCCTCCTATTCCCTTTGACCCATACACAGGTTAGATTAGTTGTAGAATTCTTCACAAAATACACATGGAGGTGCATGTATATGTGTGGGTCCTTGTGCGTGTACTGCCATGCCATCTAATGCACTTTAATTTTTACATTTTGTCTAAAATTTAAGTCACTGAGGTATGCTATGGTGTTAGATAATTTTCAACAAAACAAGAACATAGCATTCTTTTAACAATAACCGATTTGTCATCCTGCCTTACATTATATAATCTGAATTTTTGATTGATAATATTTTACAGATGTAATGTTAGATTATGAGTGTATACAATGCCTGTGAACACCTTTATGAATGATATTGGATTCTACACGTATTCACAAAACTATACGAGACAGTAAGGACAAAGATTATTTTAGGAAAGATTGTAAATGTCAGGTAAAAGGCCACAGATGCAACCAATGACATTTTATTGTGGCAATGTTTCATTTTCCAGGAACTTTGCCAGAGCTCCTGAAGAACGAAATGTTGCCACGATAAAATGTCACGTTAGATGCATCTGTGTTCTTTCACCTAACATTTTGTCGGTATTCTACCATTATTACCAGAGATTGTAACTGAGAAATTTCAGAAACTCATTAATCAAATATATCTTTGGTATGAAGAAAGCAATGTAAACATTAGGGTTATGAATAACTAAAGTGTAGTGAACACTTATCAGTGTTCAATAATAAACCACATGGAGATAGAAACTCAGGAGATTGATTGAGCTATATATTTTGACCCTCTTTTGGGGTCCTCTTCAGCAGATGCTGAAGAGGATCCCAGAAGGGGGTCAAAATATACAGATCAATCAATCTCCTGAGACTCTGTCTCCATGTGGGTTATTAATGAGCATTAGTTGTTATGTTGACCCAGAGAAATTCTACTGAATCTTTTATTGATTTTTTTTTTTTTTTGAGACTGTCCTGTTCACCAAAGAGCACACCATCACTTCTCACACTCTTTGGAACTCTGATATGCTTATGTTTTTTGCAAATGTAAAAAGATTTGAATCATATGTAAGTAAGGGATGATGCACAATTTTCTTAGGTACCATGAAGTGGAAATTTTCAACTACTCAGATATGGAAAACTTGAGGAAATTAAAACTGTATCAGGGTATACGACAAATTCTAATCATACAGTAGAGCAAAAAGTAATGTGAAGGACCTGGGAGTGATAATGTCAGAGGATCTTGCCTTCAAAGACCACAACAATGTATCTACCGCATCGCTAGGAAAAAGATAGGATGGATAATGAGAACCTTCAAAACTAGGGATGCCAAGCCCAAGCCCATGATGATCCTCTTCAAATCACTTGTTCTCTCTAGGCTGGAATACTGCTGTACACTAACTGCCCCCTTCAAGGCAGGTGAAATTGCTGACCTGGAGAGTGTGCAAAGAACTTTCATGGCACACATAAGTACAATAAGGCACCTAATTTACTGGGAATGGTTGAAGGCCCTTGATTTGTATTCCCTGGAGTGCAGGCAAGAGAGATACATGATAATATACACTTGGAAAATCCTAGAGGGATTAGTACCAAACTTGCACACAAAAATCACTCCCTATGAAAGCAAAAGACTCGGCAGACGATGCAACATTCCCCCAATGAAAAGCAGGGGCTCCATGAGTACAATGAAAGACAACACAATAAGTGTCTGGGGCCCAAGACTGTTCAACTGCCTCCCAGCATACATAAGGGGGATTACCAATGGATCCCTGACTGTCCTCAAGAAGGCACTGGACAGGCACCTAAAGTCAGTACCTGACCAGCTGGGCTGTGGTTCATACATCAGTTTGCGTGCGGCCAGCAGCAACAGCCTGGTTGATCAGACCCTGACCCGCCACGAGGCCTGGTCTCAGGCCAAGCCATGGGGGCATTGACCCCTGAACCCCTCTCCAGGTAAACCATGCCAATTGGTTCACCAAATGGATGAAATGGTGTATTGCCGACAAGTATTGTGTGAAGACAGAGGCACATGTTACACAACAGTCTTTTACTGGGACAGTTTTTTCCTTTGTGCAGGACTTTATCTGTGTAAAGCAAAATGTTGCCCCAATAATGATTTGTTCTGCTGCTTGTGTGTTTTACTAGAAGGCAGTGGAGATATCACGTCTGAAGGCACGTGTGAGAATTATGCAGAGAATTCGTAGTTTGGAGATTAGTAAGAGGCATGGTGTAACTAAAAGTATTATCCAGAAGGGCTAATGAAGTGGTTTGGAACATAAAGAGTAGTTCAGATTACTATGAATTTTATAATGAATCTGCATGGTAGTATAGTGTTCTCATTTTATACTAAACATGCATTCCAGGCCCATGGCAGTTGCATTAAGCTCAATCAGCTATAACATTTAATTCTGCATAATAAGAATCTTTAACACTGTGAACAGCATTGATTGCATAAGGCAAATGTATATTGCATATATGGATTTACCAGTGAACAGAACATTGCATGATACCAAATTTGAATAAAGAGGGGGAAATGCAGTACTGTTAATTTATGTACTCTGGAAATGAAAAAAAACCCTTTTTATTTGACCATTAAAACTGTTTAGCTGAAAAAACATTTAAGACCAAGACTTGTTACGAAATTGTTAAACTCAAAATCTAAAAGGGTTTTACACCTGTAAAAATAAAAAAATCAGTGTTGATAGACCAAGTTTTTGTCTACCAAAAATAATTTTGGTAGATCAGAGAGAAAGAGAACCCGGTGTTGATATTGGCTTCAATGTCATAGGGAATGTAAAAACAAAATACGTGCTAAGGAAGAACTTCACAACAAACCCCACAAGGGAGATTAAACTAAAAGCATTTAGTCTAACTTAAACCACTATCTCACTTTTTCAGGTCCCAGGACTCCCTGAAACATTTTCAAATTTTACTTTAATGTCTGGGGTTTGTTTGAATTGTTTGAGAAACATATCAAGACTTTTTCTGTTTTAAAAGAACTGGTTTGATGGAAAAGGTTTGGTGTCAAAAACTGTAACTTTTCCATTTTAAGTTAGGTTTTCAGCTCGAGTTCAGCATGCATCTCTTCTTTGTTTTTCTTAAGCACTACCAAATTAAAGGTGAGAAAAGATGGGCTGCTTCTGAATTTATTTAGCTACGCATTACTGGGAAAACTTCACTTTTCATACAGCTTTTTGTTTTTTTTAAATTATATTTAAAAATTTTTTCATGGCAATTTTTTTTATTTGCATTTTTTTAAGATTGTTAAAATGTGGTTAAATAAATTTCTTTGGGGAAGGTGCCTGGTCCCCCTTGAGGGGGTCTTTTCCCGGGGATTGGGGTTTATCCTGAATTTTCCTCATCCCCAAGAGCTTTATGACCCCTTTCAGGGTTTTGAAAAACTCCCCTCATTTATGAATAAAACAAAATAATTAAATAAGAAATTTTGTGTGCATTGACCAAATTTGTTCTGCTTTAAATTGTAATTTTTTTAAAACATATGCCATGTTTTGAGTAAAAATTATATATTGTTGATTTTTTGTAAAGAAGGAAAAAAGCTTTGCAAACCTTTTTAATCTTTTAAAGATGAGAGTAAATAAAATTTTGGACAGTAAATGTTGGAATTTTTTATCAAAGATATTCCAATTTTTTCAAATAAAATTTAAACTTCAAAAATTATTATACAAGAGTACACATATATTTGTGATAACAACTGTAGTGCTTTTCTGGTCAGTGATATTACATAATATTTTAATATTACAAGATTCCTGCTTTATAACTGTTTACATTTTAACAGAGAATGCTTGGTGTGAGCCGAGACGCTGTGATTACACTGGCCTCTACTACTGCCCTGCCTGCCACTGGAACTCTCGAATGGTACTGCCAGCAAGAGTGATACATAACTGGGACTATGATGAATGTGTTGTGAGCAGGCAGGCCAAACAGTTCCTCTTACTGATGAAGAATAAATCAGTACTTCATTTAGAGAAACTCAATCCTCACCTCTTCAAATTTGTTGAGGAACTCATCTCTGTGAAGGTAGGAGTTTGGTTGGATAAAATATATTTTCAGTGATAAATAGCTCAGTTTTAGATGAATAAGAGAAATGTACATTTGTGTGTCTTTACTCACGAAATCATATTAATACGATTGCAAACTAACCACGGATTGGATGTGGTTCGAATCCCACCCGTTCTGTGGCTTGTGTATCTTTATGAAGTTGTTTTGGCAGCCAGTGACTTGATCAGTACAATACAAAGAATAATACTGGAGAAGTTGGAAGATTTGTGTATCATTAATATATAATAACTCATCTTTAGTTGTCACATGAAGATCAACTCAGAGAGAAGAGCATCTCCCTTCACTTGTTACCCTTCATGGGGGCATCTCCCTTCACTTGTTAGACTTCATGGGGGCATCTCCCTTCACTCATTACCCTTCATGGGGTATCTCCCTTCACTTGTTACCCTAGATAGGGCATCTCCCTTCACTTGTTACCCTTCATGGGGGCATCTCCCTTCACTTGTTAGACTTCATGGGGGCATCTCCCTTCACTCATTACCCTTCATGGGGTATCTCCCTTCACTTGTTACCCTAGATAGGGCATCTCCCTTCACTTGTTACCCTTCATGGGGCATCTCCCTTCACTCATTACCCTTCATGGGGCATCTCCCTTTGCACATTACTCTTCATGGGGCATCTCCCTTTGCACATTACCCTTCATGGGCATCTCCTTTCACTTGTTACCCTTCATGGGGCATCTCCCTTCACTCATTACCCTTCATGGGGGATCTCCCTTCACTCATTACCCTTCATGGGGCATCTCCCTTCACTCATTACCCTTCATGGGGCATCTCCCTTTGCACATTACTCTTCATGGGGCATCTCCCTTTGCACATTACCCTTCATGGGCATCTCCTTTCACTTGTTACCCTTCATGGGGCATCTCCCTTCACTTGTTACCCTTCATGGGACATCTCCCTTCACTTGTTACCCTTCATGGGGCATCTTCCTTCACTTGTTATCCTTCATGAGGCATCTCTCTTCAATTGTTATCCTTCATGAGGCATCTCCCTTCACTCATTACCCTTCATGGGGCATCTCCCTTCACTTGTTATCCTTCATGGGGCATCTCCCTTCACTTGTTATCCTTCATGAGGCATCTCTCTTCACTTGTTATCCTTCATGAGGCCTCTCCCTTCACTCATTACCCTTCATGGGGCATCTCCCTTTGCACATTACCCTTCATGGGTGTTACGGTCCCCTGCCAAACTAGCGGTTAAATAGTTAACCTGCCGGCCGGCAGTACCACTGGGTACGTCATCAAACCCAATGTGGGGACTGCTGAGCCGGCTTTAGAAGCAGTAAGTACCTGAACACCTCACGGTACGCATCTAAGCAGTAACTACCAGAACACCTTATGGTAGACATCTACTGGCAGTAGAGTATTTGTCTGACCGTCTTATTATATATATCTACTGGCGTTAGAGGAAGCGCTCACCTATATAATATTAAAGATTAATTTAATGTGTATATATGTATCCCGAACTTTTATATTACTAACACTAATGTAAAACCCAATTAGTGTTTTTGTAATAATGGAGCATCTCCCTTTGCATATTACCCTTCATGGGGCATCTCCCTTTGCACATCACCCTTCATGGGGCATCTCCCTTTGCACATTACCCTTTGTGGGGCATCTCCCTTCACTTTTTATCCTTCATGAGGCATCTCTCTTCACTTGTTACCCTTCATGAGGCATCTCTCTTCACTTGTTACCCTTCATGAGGCATCTCCCTTCACTTATCCTTCATGAGGCATCTCTCTTCACTTGTTATCCTTCATGAGGCATCTCTCTTCACTTGTTATCCTTCATGAGGCTTCTCTCTTCACTTGTTATCCTTCATGAGGCATCTCTCTTCACTTGTTATCCTTCATGAGGCATCTCTCTTCACTTGTTATCCTTCATGAGGCATCTCTCTTCACTTGTTATCCTTCATGAGGCATCTCTCTTCAATTGTTATCCTTCATGAGGCATCTCTCTTCACTTGTTATCCTTCATGAGGCATCTCCCTTCACTTGTTATCCTTCATGAGGCATCTCCCTTCACTTGTTATCCTTCATGAGGCATCTCTCTTCACTTATCCTTCATGAGGCATCTCTCTTCACTTGTTATCCTTCATGAGGCATCTCTCTTCAATTGTTATCCTTCATGAGGCATCTCTGTTCACTTATCCTTCTTGAGGCATCTCTGTTCACTTATCCTTCATGAGGCATCTCCCTTCACTTGTTATCCTTCATGAAGCATCTCCCTTCAGTTATCCTTCATGAGGCATCTCTCTTCACTTGTTATCCTTCATGAGGCTGCTCTAAGGAATTGGAGCTATTCTCATCTTGGATGTGTTGTATGACCCACATGGGTTCACACTAACCCATGAATTAATTAATAATTTATGGCCACCTTAACCCAGCACACACAGTGTACAGGCTCACTTTGTGAATTCACTATTATGCAATGTCCCATCTTTGTTAGTGATTATGTATGTTTCACTTACATATGTTTTATGTGATCGATGTGTCTCGCAAAGTGTATCAAAGATTCTTATGAAGAATTGAGTTCTGATTGACCGAAATACAGCTGCCCAGGGAGTGGAATGTATCTACCACATGAAGCGGGGAAGCCTGTACTTTACCAATGTTTTGCCTGAATGTATCTACCACATGAAGCAGGGAAGCCTGTACTTTACCAATGTTTTGCCTGAATGTATCTACCACATGAAGCAGGGAAGCCTGTACTTTACTAATGTTTTGCCTGAATGTATCTACCACATGAAGCGGGGAAGCCTGTACTTTACCAATGTTTTGCCTGAATGTATCTACCACATGAAGCGGGGAAGCCTGTACTTTACCAATGTTTTGCCTGAATGTATCTACCACATGAAGCGGGGAAGCCTGTACTTTACCAATGTTTTGCCTGAATGTATCTACCACATGAAGCGGGGAAGCCTGTACTTTACCAATGTTTTGCCTGAATGTATCTACCACTTGAAGCAGTGGGAAGCCTGTACCTTACCAATGTTTCGCCTTCTTCAGAAACTCCGAGAAGACTTGCTCATCATGAAGCAGTACTTGGGCACCTGTCGAACAGCCCAGGAATCACGAATGCTTAGACAGTTAGAGGCACGGCAGCACTTCGTGGAGAATGCACACATGTACTCTCTACAAGATTTAATTGATATTAATTCTGGAGCATTGGTGGAGTACCTTAAAAAAGTTCATAGCAGCTTCTCATCTCACATCAAAAAAGAGTGTTTGGTAATGATTTTTCTTATATGTTATTGGTGTACCAGCCACATATTTTTTAGTCTCAAAATATTGCCAGATACAGTAGTTTTTAGTTATACTAGATAATTTTTTTATTTAAAAATTAAAGAGGATCTTACAGGACATTAATTATGGTTCCCTGATAGCAATGACTAAGAAATAAATTTATTGGTGCCAGTTTGTTTACTACCAGGTATCTTGTTTAAGGGCACATCACAATAAGTTATGCATTCTTTTCTTGTAAAAATCACACCTAAGTGTATGTACATGTACTATATACTGTATATTACTTTATGCTGTATATCTTTCTTTCTTTCTTTCAACACACCGGCCGTATCCCACTAAGGCAGGGTGGCCCAAAAAGAAAAACGAAAGTTTCTCTTTTTAAATTTAGTAATTTATACAGGAGAAAAGGTTACTAGCCCCTTGCTCCCGGCATTTTAGTCGCCTCTTACAACACGCATGGCTTACGGAGGAAGAATTCTGTTCCACTTCCCCATGGAGATAAGAGGAAATAAACAAGAACAAGAACTAGAAAGTAAATAGAAGAAAACCCAGAGGGGTGTGTATATATATGCTTGTGCAAGACTGGTATACAATACTGACAAGATGAAAGTTAAGACACTTGTGCAACATCTGGTTATCTTTATTGTAGATGTTTCGCCATCCAGTGGCTTTATCAATACAAATTCTTGGACATAATAAGAAAAACGAAGAACTATATACAAAAGATGAGGTAATCAGTCCCTCGGCCTTGGAGGTGGTGTTTAGAGCACTGTGGTTGTAGAGATTCTCTACAACCACGGTGCTCTAAACACCACCTCCAAGGCCGAGGGACTGATTACCTCATCTTTTGTATATAGTTCTTCGTTTTTCTTATTATGTCCAAGAATTTGTATTGATAAAGCCACTGGATGGCAAAACGTCTACAATAAAGATAACCAGATGTTGCACAAGTGTCTTAACTTTCTTCATATATATGCTTGTACATGTATGTGTAGTGTGACCTAAGTGTAAGTAGAAGTAGCAAGGCATATCTGAAACCTTGTGTGTTTGTGAGACAGAAAAATGGACACCAGCAATCCTACCATCGTGTAAAACAATTACAGGCTTTCGTTTTACACTCACTTGGCAGGACGGTAGTACCTCCCTGGGCAGTTGCTGTCTACCAACCTACTACCTAGGATATGTGCTATGTACTGTATATATACTATGTACTGTATATTTTTTGTGTATCTGAAAATTTTTAATAAATAATTGTAGCATTTTCATGGATTGTAGGGAATTTAACTGAGGATAAGAATTTGCAAACCCACTAATCTACTGATCATGCTGACATGAACTTCATAGGAAGGGTTTAGACCCATCCTATACTGGACTGGGCAATGTTGGCAGTGGTTTCTAATCATGATTTTGAATAGTTACAAAACAGTGCACCATCACTCATTATTGAGCTGTCTTTCTAGAAGTGCACCGACATCACAACCCAGGTGATCCATCAAACTGCAACATTCCCAACTATGGAAGTCTAGGCACTCTACTGTACTTTCCACTTTCAGAAAAGTCTTGCTAACCAGTTTTCATAAATTCATTCATATCTTCTACCTTGCTTGTCATGTCCAATCCCCAGTAATCACTTGTCTCCACTCACTATTTTTTTCTGCTTTTTATCATCCTGCATGTGAAAAACACTTGATGCAGGAAAAATTAGATCATTAACTTATTCCACAGCAATCCTTCCATCAGCCCAACTAAGTGATACACATGTACAGGAGGGCCTTGCTTATACAGCAGGTTAAGTTCCAGGATACTGTAGGGCCCTGCTTATACAGAAGGTTAGGTTCTGGGCTACTGCTGTAAATTGAATCACAGCCATTTTTACTTTCAAATGCATATAAAACCCTAGTAACATGTTTACACTAATATATATTAAGTGAACAATATAGCTAGGCCTAAAAATGTATATATAGTACACACATTACATTCTTTCTTCTTTCAATGCACCGGCTGTATCCCACCGAGGCGGGGTGGCCCAAAGAGAAAAACAAAAGTTTCTCTTTATAAATTTAGTAATGTATACAGGAGAAGGGGTTACTAACCCCTTGCTCTTGGCATTTTAGTCGCCTCTTACGACACGCATGGCTTACGGAGGAAGAATTCTGTTCCACTTTATGAAGATATGAGGAAATAAACAAGAATTAGTAAGAAGATATAAGTAAGGGGATATACATGCTTGTACATGCATATGTAGTGTGACCAAATTGTAAGTAGAAGTAGCAAGACATTCATGAAATCTTGCATGTTTATGACAAAAAAACACCAGCAATCCTACCATCATGTAAAACAATTACAGACTTTTGTTTTACACTCACTTGGCAGGATGGTAGTACCTCCCTGGGCGGTTGCTGTCTACCAACCTACTACCTAGACACATTACATACTTTAAAATATTTTCTTCCATAGCTTATAGTGAGTGGTGAATATATTTATTGTAGGAAGCCTGAGTAAATGAAGAATGAGTATAATTGAAAATTGCTGTACAGTGGTACCCCGAGTTTTGGCCATAATTCGTTCCAGAAGGCTGTTCGAGTGCCATTACCCAATGAATTTGTTCCCATAAGGAATAATGTAAATTAGATTAGTCTCAAAAATACACTTACAAAAGCACTTACAATGATACACTTACATAATTGCTCGAGTCGGGAGCTGTACATAACTCGGGGTACCACTGTATTAGTGAAATGCTGTAAAGTGTGGCCCATCTTCCCTCATGTTTTGTTAGTACAATGATATAAATTTAATATACAGTATATTATGATCTTAGCATTAGTATTTATCATTGTGCAGTTTCTTAAAAATATATTATTTTGTTCTACAGGTTTGCCAGGGAAAAGGATATATCTGTGAAATATGTGACAATAATGAGATTATATTCCCCTTTGATAATGGTGTAATTGTTTGTAATGGATGTTCGGCCACCCTCCATCATCTGTGTTACACTCGCAACACCAAGTGCCCAAAATGTGCACGACAAGAAGCAAGACGGAAACAAGAGTCTGATGATAAATAGTGTGTAGAAACAGGGCTGGATTAAGGTATGGGCTTAGGGACTGCAGCCCAGGGGCCTCTGCCAGCTGGAGGGCCTCCATGGGTGTTCTCAGTAACTTACAATTTACTGATGTTTTGGAGAAATTTGTTTCCAAGAAATTACACAAAGAAAATGTTTGAATTTTAATTGTGGTTAGTCTTGTAAATATAAATTTAATATATCTTTAACTTTTTACCCCTTGAAAATATTGGGGGCCCCACAGTACCTGTAGCCCAGGTGCCTCACAGTACCTATAGCCCAGGGGCCTCACAGTACCTGAAGCCCAGGGGCCTCACAGTACCTGTAGCCCAGGGGCCTCACAGTACCTGTAACCCAGGGGCCTCACAGTACCTGTAGCCCAGGGGCCTCACAGTACCTGTAGCCCAGGGGCCTCACAGTACTTGTAGCCCAGGGGCCTCACAGTACCTGTAGCCCAGGGGCCTCACAGTACCTGTAGCTTAGGGGCCTCACCATATCTGTAGCCCAGGGGCCTCACAGTACCTGTAGCCCAGGGGCCTCACAGTACCTGTAGCTTAGGGGCCTCACAGTATCTGTAGCCCAGGGGCCTCACAGTACCTGTAGCCCAGGGGCCTCACAGTACCTGTAGCCCAGGGGCCTCACAGTACCTGTAGCCCAGGGGCCTACAAAATCTTAATCTGGCTCTGTGTAGACATGAGAGATGCAGGGATGCATTTTTGCCACATCTCTCTGCAAGTTTATTTGTTAACCCTTTCAGGGTCCCCAGGCCCTCTCCCAGACTTGTTCTCAGGGTCGCCCAAATTTCAAAAAAAAATAAAAAAAATATTTCTTATGAAAACATAGAGAATCTTTTCCCGATCATAATGACACCAAAAGTATGAAATTGATGGAAAACTTACGGAATTATGCTCTCGCAAAGTTAGCGGTCTCGACGATGTTTACGCATCGGCGATTTTGCCCACTTTGAGCCCTATTTTCGGCCAATTCCAGTGTACTAGTTGACAAAAATCATAACCATTTTGCTAGAACTCCATTTTTTCTATTGAATGAGTACAAGAAACCACCATTTACCGATTTCAACTATCCAATACAGTGGTCAGAATTTAGCAATTTTGCCAATTTCACACAAATTTCAAAAGATGCCAATTTCCAAATAGGGTCCAGAATAAACAAGAAAGACATTCCTGGCACTAAAATAACATTTCCTCTGTTCATTAGTCACTTCCCCACGCCCCTCTTACATTCTTTTGCTTTCCACTTTGAATTTTTATTCTCACAAAAAATAGAAGATTTACTTTTATGCAGACTACTGAATTAGTGTAGAAATGTTATAAATAATATTGGCGCACTTGTGAAAGACTATTAGACTCACTAGTTGACGTGTATTGGACGCTTAGCATGATTTGTTTACTTTTGAACTTTGGTAAAAATCGAACATTTCTGCTACTTTGAGCTCAATTTCAAGATACTTTTCTTTGTAAAACCAGTCAAAATCATCTCAATTTCTGTAATATGTTTACCATTCTATAAAATGAGACCAGGAAAACTAGAATACAACATTAAATACCATACGAAAATACAGTGCAAAGTCGCTGTTTTAATCCAAAAACATGGTCAAAGTTTTTTTTTTCTCATTACGCACTGTGTGCTGCAGGGTTTTTTTTATACTGCGCACACTGACCACATAGACCCATTCTTTCATATGTAGGCCTACCATCTTTCTCTCACTAGATTTGAGGGCGCTAGAATTTAGGCGTACTAGTACGTCAAAAACCCTGGTGCGTAAGCCATACTAGTACGTCCAAAACCCTGAAAGGGTTAAGGGACAACATCTGATATAATACATATGATCTATTAAATCCATGCTCTTGAAATTATTTCAAACATTTAATGATAGACTTGATGACAGATTTAGGTGTGAAAATTCCCAATTTAAGTAAATAAATATAGCTTTAAATTGTTTACTTATTATGAATTATTTTATTGTAGTACAAAATATTGGTATACAGTATATCCAATTGCAAATTTTATAATAATGAAAATATCAATGTTTTGAGTATGGGCCTAAATAAGACATCTGTAACGATGTATATCATGGAGAAAACTAAAATGACAGGAATTAAAGGTGAGAGTAGGCCTATGTCATACACATGAAGTGACAATTGTAAACCAACTTCTTCAAGTAAATCATTCATTTTCCAACTTGTTATTTTGTACCATTTTCTGCAGGATTTAATCTGAGACTGAAATTAAACATTAGTTTTTTTAAGTTAGATTTGATTAGGACATTATCTCTACCTGAAGATAAAATCCCAAGAAAAGTTTATTATTATAATATCAATATGATATACCATATTTTCTGACATATAAGGTGCATGATCATATGAGATATATAAGACTACGTTTCCAAGCAGTTGTAATGTAACGTTACCTGGAGTTTACCTGGAGAGAGTTCCGGGGGTCAACGCCCCCGCGGCCCGGTCTTTGACCAGGCCTCCTGGTGGATCAGAGCCTGATCAACCAGGCTGTTACTGCTGGCTGCACGCAAACCAACGTACGAGCCACAGCCCGGCTGATCAGGAACCGACTTTAGGTGCTTGTCCAGTGCCAGCTTGAAGACTGCCAGGGGTCTGTTGGTAATCCCCCTTATGTATACTAAAGCGTACTAAAGCGCACCCTGACCTTGAGCATATAAGGCGCAGGGTGATTTTCCAATACTTTTTGTGGGAGAAAAGTATGCCTTATATGCCTGAAAATCTGGTAAGACTAGCACATATTACTGGTTGATAATTGTTACTCTAAGTTTGTATAAGTTGTATCATATACTTGTAGAAATAAAGATTATAATTATTATTAAAGCAGGTATAATTATTTAGGTACACTTATTTTCGAAAATACATTTGCTCAAGAGTACTAAAATGGTTCGGAATTACGGTACAATTAAATCACATTATTATTATTGTAATCAAGGGGAAGTGCTAAACCGAAGGAATATACAGCGCCTGGGGAGGGGGATGTGGAAGGCATTCAGGCTTAATTCGGGGACCCCTCAGGGAAGGTTCCTTGATGTTGGTGAGGGGCTCTTGATTTAGGGAATTGGATCTGTTCTCCAGTTCCCCAAATTAAGCCTGAATGCCTTCCACATCCCCCCCAGGCGCTGTATAATCCTACGGGTTTAGCCCTTCCCCTTGATTATAATAATCGGGGAACTGGAGCACAGATGCAATTCCCTAAATCAAGAGCCCCTCATCAATATCAAGAAACCTTCCTTGAGGGGAATTAAATCACAGAATGGGTGGGATTTGATCATATGGTTATACGAGTTTGCAAATATGTTATTACGACTTAGTTTCCACGAGTTACAGTACAATATTTTATCCTTAGTCTTCGGTTCGGAAAAATAACATGAGAGTTCTGTACGAAATTACGGGACAGTATTTCTTGTAAGATAGGAAAACCGGAGGAAAAAACCGTAGCGAAGCTTAATGCCAGCTTTAATTTCAGCTTCAGCTTGTGGCCCGGTGGCCTGGTGGCTAAAGCTCCCGCTTCACACACGGAGGGCCCGGGTTCGATTCCCAGCGGGTGGAAACATTTCGACACGTTTCCTTACACCTGTTGTCCTGTTCACCTAGCAGCAAATAGGTACCTGGGTGTTAGTCGACTGGTGTGGGTCGCATCCTGGGGGACAAGATTAAGGACCCCAATGGAAATAAGTTAGACAGTCCTCGATGATGCACTGACTTTCTTGGGTTATCCTGGGTGGCTAACCCTCCGGGGTTAAAAATTCGAACGAAATCTTATCTTATCTTCAAGGTTTAGGTTAGGTAAAATCTGTCAGGTAACAGGACAAGTGTTTCCTGGCGCGGGTTTTAGTCATATGATGACCCACAGCTGGAGCTTTTGGTCATCTGACAGAGGCCTTCCACTGGGTTACCCCTCCACCCTTTAAAAATTATGGTTATGATTACAAACAATTCTTTCAAGCTTCCTAATGAAATACATAAAATGAAATGTGCAGTACGAGATGTTGGGCAATTACCTGTGCTAGAGGTCAGGGTTGCCAAGGTAGCGTTGACTGCGCTAGATTTAGCGAGCTTTTATATGATTGGACGCAGTTTAATCATCCCGAAATTTAAGAGCTTTATGAGCGTTCTAAATGTTTTTGAAATCTAGTTAAATATGCATATGTAATAAAAAAGAACCTAAATAAATATAATGAAATACAGTAAAACTTGGCTTAATAATGAGTCTCGCCAGGAAACTTTCTGAAGGTCTGGTTAGACAGACCACACCAAGTACTGAACGTGACGCACGTAAGTGATAGTGTCCTGGACTGTAAGTGAACCTGTGACTGTGTGATTAGCGCTTTTTTTTATTATAATAATAATGTGACGTGTGAAATGTCCATCATACCAGTTCCACTTTTGTTAGATCCTCCCTTGTGTTACCCGTTACCCTTACTATTATTACTGTCTCTCTATTTGCTCTGACTATTCTTACACACACACATCGGCCGTTTCCCACCCAATCAGGGTGACCCAAAAAAGAAAAAACACTTTCATCATTATTCACTCCATCACTGTCTTGCCAAAAGCGTGCCAACACTACAGTTTAAAAACTGCAACATATCTCCACTCCTTCAGAGCTCTGGCACTGTACTTTATTCCTTATGAACAAGAAATATACTCAACATTTCTGAGTCCAGTTACTGGAGATACCAAAAATGGTGAAGGAAAATAAAGGGTGATGACAAAATATTTTTGTAAGTACTGCAGATATTCAATTGCAGCTAAATTAAGTGATAATGAAAGGCACAAAAATACAAATACTGACAAGCACAAAAAAACTAATGCACTATTCAGTACACAAAGATAAACCATAATTCAATTAAAAAAAATAAGCGATGTAAGAACAAGGAAATACGTCTTTGTTCATTGCTGAACATTGTTCACTACGGATAGTTAACCATTTAAGTGAACTGCAAAGAACATTTTGCTGACAGTTCTGGTTGTAAGAGCCTAAAGCTAGTAAGTAAGTTTATTCAGGTATACACAAATACGGTTACATAGACTATCATACATAGCAGCATATGTGTAAAGTGTCTAGGATAACCCAAAAAGTCAGACAGATTGACTTATTTCCATTATTGGGGGCAAAATGTAGAGCAATTGTTTACAATGTACTTGCATGATATTTTAATGATGACTTGAAAACTGATATTGGAAATAGTAAATTAGATAAGATGTTCTGATTTTTAACCCCGGAGGGTTAGCCACCCAGGATAACCCAAGAAAGGAGTGCGTCATCGAGGGACAGTCTGTCTTGTTTCTATTGGGGTCCTAAATCTTGTTCCCCAGGATGCCACCCACACCAGTCGACTAACATCCAGGTACCTACTTGTTAAGTGAACAGGACAGCAGGTGTAACGAAACACGCCCAGTGTTTCCACCCATGCCGGGGACTGAACCATGGACACTAAGTGTGTGAAGCGAAAGCTATGCCTACCAGGCCAAGGGGCCTCCCCCCCTGATTAATAGCATATTGGTAGATGAAAGTAATATTTCTGTAACGAACCTATTATGTATAACTATTAGGTATTATTCTGAGACAAAAGCAAGAAATTGTGGTTACTTATTTAGACCTAGTTGAGCTGTGTGACTGCAGTTCTGATGCAATATGAGAGGCTTTAAAGGAATCCTTAAAAAGTAATGGATGCATATTAGCTTCTCAACAATCGCAAGAACGTTTCTTTGTCAAGATTGATACTGAACATATCAACTCCAGGCTGAGGGACTGATTACTTCATATTCTACCGTTGTTCTCTATATTGGACTGAAAAAGGCACTGGCTGGCGAAACGTTTCCTCAGTAAAGATTCCCAAATGTTACATAGGGTGTCTCTTCAACTGGAGTAAGAAACGTTTTTAAGCGACTTTTCATGCAGATTTAGCTCGTTTTAGCAAAAGTCTAGCGCAATTTTATAATCTCCTTTGGCAACCCTGGCCATCATGATGGAGGGGAGGAACATGTGTCAGTGCACCTGTGACAGCCAAGGAGGGAGGTGCTACTATATCATTCTTCCCTTCAACGTGATAATTGTCCTTGCACATTATTTCCCTACCAGCATACAAGTGTTGACCTTGTGGGAAAATACACTTATGTACAGCTCAGGACATCTACTAAAGGAAACATTTCACCACAAGTGGCTTCTTCAGTCCTAATAGATAACTATGGAGTATATATAATGGCAGTATATATAATAGGTATATATAATGTCACAGCATCATGTTACTCATAGTAACGTGATTTTTCAGGTGTTTTTACACTCGTTACTCTAACAGTGACCCTATTTTAACTACAAAACCCACTGGATAATTATCACGAGGCGTTATAAGCTGTTACAAATATTTCGTAATGTCATAATAGACCTTTCAGACTCATTATCCTGACAACTCAAAAAAAAAAAAAGGGAAAAAAATGTGTGCATGAGTGAGAAAATCTATTTTAAACTAAAACCAATTGTTCAACCTTGCATGGACGCTAACATGTGTATATAGTGGGAGAGATGAGACATACACCAGTGATATGAGTACCCATGAGGATATTTTGTGGTGAGTGATGAGTAATGATGGTGTCAGGTGGGCGTGGGTGGGCGGGGGTGCTGCTGCTGCTCGTGGATGTCTTCTCTACATTGTACACCACCCACGCACACATACCAGGTAATTATGTGATTGTCTATATTCCTTAACCCTCGTAGGTATATACACAGTTTACCTAATCCCTGTATTAGGTATTAAAGTAGTAGTCAGCATGCTAAGTAGTTATGACCTTTATTCCTGAACTCTCATAGGTATATACATCGAGAGGTGTGTATGTATATATATACACTGAAAGTTTACTAATACTAGGTATTGCTGTATGACCCTTGTGGGTTTAGCGCTTAGTTATGATTATAATATATTAGGTATTAAAGTACCAGTCAACATACCAGGTAATTATATAACCTTTATACCTTATTATTCGTAGGTATATACACCCCAAGGTGTATATACCCAGACTTTACGTAATCCCAATATTAGGTATTAAAATATCCCTGACTGGTGGTGGGCCGGTTACATGCAACCTTAATGACCCTCGTGTAGTCGTTAGGCTTTAAACGTAATTAAGCAGTAATATCTATTTCTTCAGTGTTAATGACACCAACCAAGATAAAGAACTATTTCAGTTATTTTCAGGGTAGACAAGCAAAATCCACAACTCTTGTATATAATTCTGTTCAAAGAGATTTTATAATAATAATGTAGTCATTACTATTATTTTTGCTAGGCTCGGATCTCCATAATCACCCTGCTATTACTAGTAACAGTAAGGTGGTTATGGGGATCTGGTCCTTATGTAAATTTGGTGATAATTTACTCCCCCCAAAAAATGTCCAGTATAGCATGGTTCCGCCATGAACTTTGCCTTATGATCTGCAAATATAAGAAACGTATCTAACCTAACGAGATCCAACCTAAAATAACCTAACGTAGTAACCTTAATCCGTCAGTGGTAGATATGGGACGGACAACCTTTCTTTACGTTCGCTGTGATTGGCCAGCAGTGTAAATACTAACCGATGATTTAAAAAATCTAACAGTTGATTTATTATTATTAAAGGGGAAACTGCAATATCCTTAGGGATCATAAAGCACCTGGATAATAGGGCATAATCAGGCTTTATCCAAGGAAGGGGAGGGCATTTCTAATTCCGTGGATCAAAAGCGCTTCACAAGCATCAACAACCAACCCCTCCCTTCCCTTCATAAAAGCCAATACAGGTTAGCGCATATAGCAGCCAATATAAAAGTAACCTTCCTGTGTGATGGCGTGTTAGGTAAACGCAGCTCATACTCTAATCTTGTATATTATATAGATCAGGGAAGCCGTACACTGGGGCTGGTTCCAACTTTTATGAATACAGAATGAAGGGCTGCAAGGATTCCTGGCTATTTTTGAAGTTCCTCCTCGGCGGAGCTAAGGCATTATTTATTATTTTCCCATATGTACAGTACCAGCTCTCTAAATCTAATAATATTGATTTTTTGTGCGAATTGTTTTGGGGGGATTTCATCAAAAATAATGCCTTAATTTAGCAACATTTAATAGCCTAGGTAAGATTCGTTCAAGAAGCAGGACAAGTGTTTCCTGACGCGAGTCTCGGTCATGAGACGACTCGTCACTGGAGCTTTTGGTCAGTGACCAAAAGGGTTTACCCATTTAAAAATTAAGAATGTCATTCAATAACCGAATTCCTTTCAACGTAAAGTACAGATATTATATATATCTCACTGAATTTGTTAGCGTGTTCTCTTCAGCATGAACTGCCCTGGGCGAAGTGAGGTGTATGTATTATATCAGCCATAATCATTACGTATGCAGCCTACTATCTTGAATCAAACAGTACCCCGATAATGATGAACTGACCTATTCTGTCATAGATGGACTGTTGGTTCAACTCAATTCTTAGGTTATATATTTTGGTAGTTGGATGGCGGCTTAAATTTTCGTTAACTACCTGCTACCTACCTGGAGTCTACCAGGAGGGTATTCCGGGGATCAACGCCCCTGGGGCCTGGTCCACAACCAGGCCTCCCGGTGGATCAGGGCTTGATCAACCAGGTTGTTACTGCTGGCCGCACGTAGCCCGGCGTACGAACCACAGCCCGGCTGATCCGACACCTACTTTAGTATTTGTCCAGCTCCCTCTTGGAGGCAGCCAGGGGCTGCCTTCATATCTTGATTTTTTTGTTTATCGAGTCAGTAGCGCAGGGACATTTTCTATAACGCTTATGATGTATGCTTATACATGTATATCATTATGTAGTACTGATATTATACTCCACTTCTGTACCGTGTCATCATTTTAAATGGTTCTATCCTCTTATGACATTTTTATACTACCTCGTTTATTTGATCATATACACCTAGATATAATTAGTAAGGACCTCAGTTAATAACTTGTCCGGTTAGATAATTATAGTAAGGTATATCCCGTCAATGATTTGTCATGTTAGACACTTATAATTGTGTCCTGTGATATGCTCATTTAAAATGTCCATATATGCCTTGAAACATGCTAGAATGCTTTTGTTTCCGCTACTGATGTTATAAACTGCACTTACATTTTGCACCAAGTTCTTTGTACCATGCATTTTGACACAACATGGTTTAGGTTTAATATATCAGAGTACCGTGCAAGGAACACACAAGCCTTCGTTTCGTGGTTAAAGCTACAGTATTTACCTTCTGTCTTCTTTACAATTACCATTATTTGGTAAACGGATACCTTTTACTCAACACTTGAATACTTGCAGCAGGTAATGGAGCTTTTTGATTCAAGTTTCTTACAAGGACTGATATGATTTCTTCCACAAGAAATAACATTCTAGAAATTTTGGAGTTTTCTAACACAGTTTCCACAGGCTACGATCCACAACAGTCAGCTGAAACACGGGTATAAATTTTTACTGCTAATGGGTAGTGGGCAGCAAGTGTATAAGGAAACTCCAAAAATGTTTTTTACCGCGCCAGAGAATCGAACCCAGACCCTTGCGATCGTGAGCAGGATACTCTCCTCTCTCTCTCCCTAACTAATCCAACTATTTCATGGGGGAGGGAGGGTCACAGGGGTAGGGAGAAAAGAAGGGAATGTATTTTTGGATCTTGTCTGCTTGTATGTGCGTTCGGTATCTTCATTGTGTGGTGTTCTGCTGGCCGTGACTATGGCTTTCTCTGCTGTCATATAGTTATGACTGCATCTGTATTCTGGGTGTGACTACGGTAGCTATTTTGTCCTGTAAAAAGATTAAAGAGGAAACTGAAAAATTTCATCCTCTCTTTGGATATCGTATTAAATCCGTAGCATCAATATCAGTAGTACCTGTAATGTACATTGCATATACAAGGCGTGTTGTAGATGAATGTAAAATGCGTTGCCCCTATACTTTTTTTTTTTAATTCTGGGGAAGCACTATACCCGTAAGTGTTGTGAAGAGCATGGGGAATGGGAAGTAATCAGGTTTCTTCTCACTGATAATGCACGTTGTTAATTTTTCAGTAACCCTATGTGCTATCACAATTTCCCACTTGACAGACGCATATCTTCCCAATTGTTGAAATTTGGGAGATATTTAGGGGGCATTTGATAACATTAAGATGACAATGCTTTATATATACCTAAAAGAAAACCATATAATAATAATAATAATTTTGTGATAAAGGCTAAACTCGTTCGGTTCATACAATGCCTGGGGAATGGGAGGCAAAAAAAGTTTGATCCAAGAAAGGGGAGGGTGGCTCCAATTCCTTGGATCAAAAGCCTTTTTGCCAGCATCAAAGCACCCTCCTGAAGGGACTACACCAATTAAGTTGTTCAGAAACTGTTTGAAACAGATTGCTAGGCTTTGTAGAGATATATTAATTGAATGTAATAACTAAAAGTAATCATGTGGTTTATTTTAAAAACGTAAGTAACATTTGTTTACGATTACAATGGCTACGTTTTTAATTTGTATAACTAATTTTCAACTGTATACAATGGTACTTTACTGCCGTGTAGAAAGGGTGGTTGAATCGAATAATGAGTCTCTCGTGTCTTGAGCGCAGAACTAAGATAATTACGCCACAGCTATAATACATGGTTGCGTCCACGTGTCTGTAAAATGTTCCATCTTGATTGCACAAAAGAGTAGGGTTGAAAATAGGTCTTTCCATGTGCTGGATGCGCAAATGCTCAAACTTTTTAATTAAATATGTAAACCAAACCATACCCCGGCCGGGATTGAACCCGCGGTCAGAGAGTCTCAAAACTCCAGCCTGTGAGTCAAGTTAAATATGTAAAGTTCATTAAATTCCATAAGGTTAGGTACTTATACCGTAATGTTTTTTAACCAAAACACATCTTGATTCTAGTGGGAAAATTTAAATTCCTTTAAAAAATTTGAATACCTCAAAAAATGTAAAACTATTGCCTACGACATGGACGCTTCCCTTGATCACCCCATCGAAATGGTACAATTTATTATTCTGTCTACAGTAGTATTGATTTCAGCCTTGTGGGACGACGCCTGATACATAAGATCAGTACTGGAGTATGCGGAGCCAACTGGGAACCTTCATCTCATCAACCATACAAAGGCAATTGAATAAGTTCAGATATTTTTTAGTAAATGAGAAGTCTGGGATATGTATATATGTTAATAAATATCTTGTATCACTAGAGAATGGAGGAATCAGAGAAGACTTACGGAATATACTATATAGTTGAGGCTAACTCCATACATACTGCCCAAAATAGCAGAGTAGGAAAAACTCGAAACCCACCAAAGGTAAAAGTAATAACTCTGTAAAGGGGTGGAAAGCTGGGTAGACTACGGGTTTAGTGCTTCTTCATCAATATAATAAGCCATACAGGGGATTACGCGTAAATACGACATAACTAATTTGCGTTAGTCAAAAGGTTAAGAACAGGCCCCAAGAGCTAGAACTCTTATCCACTATCGTCATATGTAACATCAGAAAATAATTAACTGCGTTTGTGATATATCCCTGTAAATCCACACGTAAGACTAGGGGTCTTTAAATATTTCCTGTGTGACCTATTCGCATACTACCCTTTCCTTCCTAACCTTTCCGTCCCACCACAAGCATTTTCTCTCTCTTAAATAAATATGAAAGT